CAGTAGATTTTCAGTTTGGTTCACGCCCATGGCTCTCATTAACCTCGTCTTCATCAAAAACTCTGATAAACCTGTTAAAAACAAGACAGAAAAAGTTAGAGACTAGCACACAATAAAAAACAGCTCTGGGTCAAATTGACCCGATTGGCGGTTCTAGTGTTAAAGGGGACCTATCATGCAAAATGCACTTTTGTACGTCTTTTATACCTGAATATGTGTCCCCGGTGTTCCAGGGAACTCACCAAGTGTCAGAAAACACAACCCTCTCTATTTTCCTCCATACCCAAATCTCTAAAAAAGGGGCTGCAACGGATCTGATAAAAACTGATCCAGATTTGAACACTGTCCTGACGTCAGGACAGTGGCGCTACGGCTATTGGGCCAACTCCACCAATCAGGAGGAGACAACCACGGCATTGCCGTTCGAAAGCGCTGAAGACGTTGTAGTACATATGCCAGGCCAGTAGATGGTGCTGTTCTCACAGAATCTGCCCTTGCTAAAACAGATCTAAAAAATGTCAAATTGAGCAAAATGAGGCATGGCTAAAATGCATGATCTGTTTGGTATTTTGAAAAAAAAAAAGTATAAATATGCCTTATATAGGTATGGTCCTACACTATATTATTCAAATATAGCATGATAGGTCCACTTTAAGATAAAAGTAGAGTACTTGCTAAAGAGACATATATTTAGCCGGAGAAGGTGTAGACCAAAGCAGAGCTAAAAAGAGAGAGAATATTGGACTTACATTCATCAGGAGGCCAGGAACTCAAATAAAAATGAATGCCAATATTCCTGTTTCTGCTGGAGAGTGAACTGTTGTGCTATCACACAAACTTTATAAAAAGATAATACATCAATGTTTGGATAAATTCACACCAGATAGAGAAGTGCGCCTGGTTCAATTATTATTTGTTTGGCTGTCGGCAGGCATGGTCGTGTGTTTTAAGCAGGAAGAAATGATTTCTTACATTGGGCAAGATGTCACCTAAATCAGTTTAACGATCAGCTGCTGTTACTCTATAGGCGTTTACTGATTAGCTGCTGAAAAATGTACATTTCCCCATTTTTTATTTGACTACACTGAGCCGCAGAATCAGTAACAGCCACATCTGACTTAGTCTGGAGAATGAATTTTTAAAGAAAACTTGATGCAGAGCTGGAGGCCCCCTTCATTCCTATGAAAGTTGATCAGTGGCGCATTAATCTAAAATGGTCGTACTCTGGTGAACAAAAGTACCAGGGTCAAGAGGGAAAATAACTCTTTATTTAGGCTTTTGGCGCCTTTTAAAAATGTTAGACCCTAATGATTTAAATAATGGCTATTTAAGTGTTTGTACTGAGTAAATGGTTCGCCCAAAAATAAATCTACGCTGATTTACAGAAGTTTCTTGGGAAATGTAAATCAATGGAAAATACTTTTGGGGCCCTATGACAGATTGACACGGAAGTTGAAGTAATAGTGTTTGGTCAATGAGCATTTGCTCAATGCCCGGTCCTCTTCTTGGGGGCTTGGGTTGAAGCAGCCACAGCAGATATCTATGGACATTGCATGGCAGCTAGCCACACTTAGCTGTGTTAATTTGGTGTTACAGCTGTGCTGCCCCCAGGTGGCCAACTAAAAATGGGATCACAGCTTTAAAGGGGACCTATCATGCAAAATGCACCTTTTGATGTATTTTATACATAAATATGTGTCCCCGGTGTGTTCGGGAACTCACAAAGTTTCAGAAAACAAAACCCTCTCTCTTTTCCTCCGCACCCAAATCTCTAAAAACGGGGGTACAATGGAGCTGATCCAGATTTGCGTCCGATATGACGTAATATTGGAAATGTGGACCCACGGCACTATCAGAAAGTTGCTATCAGAAACAATGCCCAACATGGACAATGGTGGACAATGGTCTTTGTTTACATTAGCAAGCATCACTAACACTCAGAGCTAACCTGTACTGGAGAGAGCATGTGTACAAAAAATGAACTCACCTTGTAGTAAACCTGCAAGAGAAAAAGCATTTGAGCTCCATACTGTTCCAGAAATAATCCTTGATGTGGTTTGGAACATGATATGGCATTTAATCACGGCAGCATTTAGCTTTATCTCCGGTAGAATTCTGAGCAGGCATTAGCTCCCCCTCCTCTTTTTTTTTCTTTCAAGCTCGGACCCAGATCAGCCATTCTCTAACGGGGCTGGAATAGAGGGATATGAGGGATGTCTAAAATGCATGATCTGTTTGGTATTTTGAGCTAAACACATCATAGACATGTTTTTAATATTTTTTTTATATATCTGAGACCCATAATATATGCCTAAAAATAGCATGATATGAGACCTTTAAAACTGGAAACAGATTTAAAACCTAGTTCTGGACTTCCTGTTGTTCCACCCATTTGTAATTCTGAAGTTTCTGTTTTACAAATAGAATTATATTTGAGTGTTAAGATTAATACCTCAAAATATAATTTGTTCTGTAAAACAATTGCTTGACGGTATCTGAGGGTGACTTTAAGGGCCAGATCACACATCAACGAACGTTAAACCGAAACCACCAGAGATACAAATCTGAGTGTCTCTTGTAGAACTCTCAGGATATGATATTAAAAAACTAATGAAAATGTGGTTGTGAATGAAATGGCCCTGTTGTGAATAACATTTTAAATTGGTTTCTCTGTGGGGCGAGAGAGCCATGAGTCATGCTGCCTTGAGCACAATCAAAGCTTCCTGCTCCTCCATCTCCGTCTGCTGATGGACCCGAAACTGAGCGGCTCTGTAACAAGCGATCAATGCAGTGAACCGGGATAACTCAAGCAAAGGATTAACAATACAATACCTGCTACAGCAGCTGTCATTTGCCGTCCATATTGTGTGAGAACTCATTGTTACAGTTGCTGTATAAGAGGTAAAAACGATATCACGTTGCGGCTGCTGGGTATGCAAAATGATTAGTGAGCCAAACACTAAGTAAAATGCATTTAGTGGAACATACTACCGTTATCAAACTGAGAGTTATTTTTACTGTTCATTGTTGTTTGTGTTCTCATTTCGAATTATCCCTGCTTTCGGTTCAGTACTTCAACATTCAAAGTGATGAATTTGAATGTCATGTTTTGTCTTTTGTTATAACTTTGATATGAAAGAACACAGTGAAAATGTGAAATGCTGAAGGCAGAATTTTGGCAATCATTGCATAAAAATGACATTAGTGATTAATCGGTTATCCAAAGAGTTGGCAAATATTTGTATTTCAATCAATAATGGTTGCAGCTGGAGTACAAGCAATTTGACCATTGTTTTAGTTCATCTGAAATGTACAGCTACTTCAAACAAGGAAAACAGAGCTAAACAAAAGTAAACATATACTGTATATGTGAGGACCCTGTGGTGGTCGAATGTACTATTTGGTGTTTCTTTTTCATTATCTGAGTTTGTCTTGCAGAGAGCGGAGTCAGTTGAAAGGCCCACCTGTGGCACCTGGCTCCAGTCTAAAAGGGCTGCAGAACACTCTCTCTTGGTTGCCATGCCACATGCCTGGAACACACCAGCCCAGTTTGCTTTTTTTGTCAAGTTTTTCAGTTTGCCATATAAATGACCTTTTGGATACTTTTGTCTAAACTCCCTCTCCTTTTGTTCCAAGCTGAACCCAGCTTGGAACAAATGGGGGCTCCTCCAAAGTTTGAATTCCTTTTCTGCCTTGATTGAGAAAGTAGTATGGACCTCTAGTAAGACATGTTGAAAATGGTTGAGATGGTTGAGATGGTTGTGTGGTGTAAAGCTGTGTCTTACCAGATACCAATTGTTAGACATGGGATGTGAGTTTTAGTAGCTGGAATATTTAAAAAAGCACTAAAAGAGTGGTTAACTTTCAAATGACCTTTCTTGGTATAGGCATAAGCAACACGGTCTCCCTTTGGGCCTTGTGGTTTTGTTATTTTTGTGCATAAACATGATCTGACATTTTGTCATGCATGGGTACATGTCCAAACAATGCCATAAAGAACAAAAACACACAACGCTATGAGTCAGACAGAACTGTAAAGGAGAGTGCAAATAGGAAACAGAATAAACATTGTATAATTAATGTAACAGGCTGCTTTAGATGCATGGTGTAGGTGGTGGATATGTACAATATATTCATGTGTACAGCATACAGTATAAAGAGGCTTATGTATCTCTGTGTTTGGTACTAATGACATAACCTGCTGAATTCATTTCTTTTTCTATAAAAGCTCATTAAAGCTTGTATTCAAAAACTCAGTTTCTCCATCTGGCCCTCAGTCCCATGCACATCAGACAAAAAGTGAATTATAAAAGTCAAAACAAATGTAACAGTGAAAAACCTGACTTTTATATGGGTGGGGGGGGTGCATCGGTGCTTTGATTTCTACTGAACAAAGAATAACAAGGGCGTTGAATGCCTGCACTGTTTTGATCTTTTGCTCATTTACAGCAGAAAGCACTGACTGAGTCACCAAGTGTATATGCAGCAGAGGCTGCAGATGGCATTCTGAAATAAAATAGAAAAGTATTAAATTAACTTAGTGCTGATTACCATAGAATATAAAACATGTGCTCAGGCCTGCTGTGTGACTGAAGCACATCTTTGCTTTGACTTAAAGTAGAATTGATTCTAACCCAATACACATTTTCAATAAAAAAAATGTATTATGACTAAAAAATATAATCTTATAATAAATACAATGTCATGGCAGACACCAACATATTATCAGCTAATTGTCAGAATGTTTATCTAACTCCATGAAATCATCATCTGCCAATATAACGAGTAATCCATTACTTTATCAGTAACGATCCATTGCAGTGCTGATGTTGCTTTTGTTGACTTTTTGAGGCACATTTTGCCCAGCAACTTTTACGGGATGACTCACCCGAGGCAGCTGTTACGCATGACACAAAAAAAAAACTGAAAGGATAAGGTGGAGCGAGCAGATGACAGCATTCAGATAAAAAGGTGTTTTGCGCGGGGGAGCGACTATTTGAGACGCGCAAAGGGCCACATGCTGCCTCACATCGGGACCATGCAGACCACCTCCAGCCTGCTGAGCGAGGCGCTGCTCTGCGCACTGCTGCTGCTCTCCAGCACCAGAGGAGCCGAAGTGTTGGACACCGAGTCCGAAGAGGAGCTGAGCCCCAGAGCTCTGCGGGACTTCTACCCCAAAGGTCCGAACCTGACCAGTGAGAAGCAGCTGGTAAGTTCCACTTTTATCGCAGTGCATGCAGAAAGACCATGCAACTTTACTTTTTAACCATCAAGAAAAACAGGTTTTATAATGTTATCATATCAAAGTGTAGCCAAGTGTTTTTTTGCATTTTAGTTGTGTTGAATATGACTATTGGTCTCTTTAAATAAACCAAACTAAATAGAAAAATGCATGCATTTAAGATCTTCTCGTGTCATCTAACTTATAGCCTATCGAGAGCTGATATGTTGACATTTTATCACATTCAATTGTTTCATTTTAAACACAAATATGTTACTGTATTACATGTTGTTATATAACATTACAACATTATTTATTGTATTTGTGTATGATAATCCTTTTGCTATTTCGTTAATCAACTATGATGCTATTCTATGTTTATACCCGTTTACGTTAATAAAACATGTAAATTCAGGAACTTTTATTTATTTTTTTTTTCTCTGCGGACAGCTTGGAGCTCTCCATGAAGTTCTGGAAAAGCTGCAGGCTAAACGACTGCCTTCATGGGAAAAGAAATTTGGCCAAGTCCCAACGGTATAATAAATACTCAAACACATTTGATTGATCGATATTGTGTCGAGGCAGGGAATGAGAAACTAATTAAACCTCTGCTGTTGTTGTTTCTCTCTCAGTGTGATATCGGGGAGCAGTGCGCCGTGCGTAAAGGCGCTCGGATCGGCAAGATGTGCGACTGTCCCCGGGGAGCTTTCTGCAACTTTTTCCTGCTAAAGTGCTTATGAGCATCGCTTGATCTGAATGTAGCATTGCAAAGAGAAAAGCTTCACTCGATTCCTTTGTAAATACTGTCATATTTTTTTATGGAACAGCTGAGGAGCAGCTGGGGTCACTGCCCAACCCGTACGAAAAAGAAGTATAGTAGTTCAGCATGTATATATTTTAAAGTCAAGTAAAAAAACTAGGATATTGACGAGGAGATGACCATAAAAACCCATAAAGCTTATTAATATTCAGAATCACCTAAGGTCAGTAGGAAAACCACAGGATCATTGTTGTGACGTAGGAGCTTATAAAGAACCCACAATGCACCTACAAAAGTATCGAGGACCACGTACACACTGTTCAGTCTCAACAGCAATATTATGGGAATATTATAATGATTCTTCATCTGGGCAAATCCAAAAATCTGTGTTTTGAACTTCAACTATTTGATTTCAGATGAATGTTTTGTGTATGAAATCATGATAATAAACATCATTATTGTTTTGTAAAGCAGTGGAGTGATGGCATGTTTTTTTATGTAAACACATTAAACACTTTTATAACGCACATGATTTGACTCTCCTCCTTTTTTTTTTAAAGACCACAGTCAATATTTGAAGAATGACGTGGATCTGACAATGAGCTGTGACGTCACACCCAACGGGGTGCTGCCAGGCTCCTTCATTGTCAATAACCAGGACGGGCTCATGATTAAATCCCAATTGTGCTGCAGAGGAAGTAGTTATGAAGCAGAGAGTGACTGTCACAGCTCAATCTGAGCCCCAGGAGCTGCCCCAGGCTGTTTACCACATCACACGCATGAAAGAAGATTAACCTGCAGAACATTCATTCAGATTAGATTGACCTAAAACTCAAGAAAATATCTTTATTTTATTCATGGAAATATTTGTAACCTCTTATTTAAGCTTTAATATCAACATATCGATTTTGATTTGCAGCTTTGACTTAAAGTCCCTCTTCTTCACACAAAAATGTGTTATGCCTTTTGTACTTTTTTGTACTGGGATGTTTGACCTTCACTGCAGAATGATGCTAACATCAATCTGCAGTGCCTAACCCTTAAATGTGAGTTGAAGACATACACGAATAAATGTTGTGATATCAAAACTTGTAAGCCAATCATGATCCTTTATGCAACTGGAATGTACCCTCATGTGTCATATCTCTGCTATGATAATAATAAATAACCAAATAATGGTAAATAAGGTTTTCTTTTTGTGCAGAACCCATTTATAGATAATTAGTCAATCTTTTTGAATGATTTGAAATGTCTTTAAATGTCTTTAAAGTTTGTGTGAGGTGTGTTCGAAGGTCAGTTATAACCTTCATCATGCACCATATATGATCTTGATGAGTCACAAGATGAATCTATGATCTCTGCTTTAAGAGAAAACCATAAAACTAATTTGGCTGATTCTCATTTCAGTAGAGCGATTTCATTTCATATACTGAGCTTCTACCGTCTTAGAATGTAATCATTCGTAGGGCACTGACACTATAAGCTCTTTGCAAGTGACAACAAAATAACACTGGAATAGAGTTCATCAATAGTATAGTCCTATGCTGTAACTGATATTGTCACTGAATGTTTCCATTAGGTTCCCTCTAATAGCATATTTTTGAAGTCCTCATTGATGTTTTAGTTGACTTATATTCCAAAGCCCTCTCTTTTTTTCAGCCTGCACAGAATCATTGTAAATCACATCAGTGTGTTTATCTCGTACCTTTCTCTCTTCTACCTGTCAGAGGTTAGAGGTCATCAATAATGCAGACGAGACTGTTGACTAGTCCTTTCTTACTTGGTTTGCTTAACCATTTGGGAAGTCAACAAACTGTAGTTTCCTGTTTATGCCGTTGATTAAACTAAACACACATTGTTTGTCCCTTTATTCCCTTGAAAATCGGTTATCCTCATAAATATTTCACTACCATGTTCTTTGTAATGTCATCCGCAGCATGAGATTAAAGAATGCTTCCCTAACTATTTTCGTTTTGATAAATAGTAATTGTTAATTCAAATATAGTTTGAGAAACCTTCACCACTTGGTCTTTTGAAACACTTTTTAAACCACTGGGCACCCAAAAACATTTATAGTGGGCTGACAAAAAGACTATACTCTAAGATCCTGAAGAGCAATACTTCCTCCAGACAGCAAAGGATCTGTTATTGATTCCTTGGGGGAATTACCTCCGATTGCGGTAGAGATTGCATGTGTATAAGTGAGACAGTTACAACCGGCAGCAATCGGCCATTGGGAGAAATGTTTCTTTGTGTTGGATAATTTGACAGAGAAGTAAAGAATTACAGATAGAGATGGTGATGGAAACGCAGAGAAAGAGGCGGAGGGTGATAGTGTGATGGATGGAGATACAGAGCGGGTGACAAATGAAACAGTCTGAAATAGATTGCTGCCTGAGAATGACAGTGCTGGGTGTAAACGGCTCAATAACATCGGCACCAGACAGAGCTTTAGGCAGAGAAGTTGATTTATTACGTGTAAATCCTAATATGAGAACATAGAGCTGTATCTTATTTTATTTTGCACATGTTGTTGTCTCAATACAAACAGTCATGTAATGTGACATATACGACTCTTATTGTCACTGCTCATGACCATTTTTTTGAAAAAAAGACAGGTTGTGTGCCTCTGTGGTCTATTGGTTAAGATTCATACCATATAACTGCCACATTCGTTTTTTTAATTCCAGTTCGCAAGCTTTTATTGAGGACATATGTTTCTTTCCTTGTTTACTGTGAATCATTTTTGCTTTACTTTTATTCTCCAGTAAAGAACATAGCAATAATAGATTAAATGAAAGAGAAGGGAGTTCAGTCTCCAAGAATTAAGTTAACATTGCTCGTCGAACAAGGACCATTTTACAAGCAAGACCACACCACAACAGTGTGATATTTGTAGATTAAGGAAGTAACAGTGAATATAAATTGAAAGGGGTGTTAAAACGTTGATGGCGAATAACATCTGTTGGTCTGGTCTGGTCTGGGGGGACGTGCTGTGGTGCGGGCAGAGGGAGACTCAGAGGGGGGGGTTCTGTCTCTGACAGCTCAGGCTGATTAAGTCCCTCTGGAACTCACTCCCCCAACCCATCAGAGACTGCACTGACCTCACCACCTTCAAAAAACTCACCTCTTCAATCTGGCTTTTAATGTGTGATTGTTTTTGTGTTCATTTGACTTTAACTATATTTATTTGTTATTCTTTTCTTTTCACTATCTTTGTAAAGCGACTTTGAGCACCTGTTAAAGCGCTAACAAAATAAATCTATTATGTTATTATTATTATTATTACTGCACCTTTAAAAGATTGCTCAAGTTGTATACAAATAGACCCGGAGACAGGTGGAGAGGATGAGGGGATGTAGAGAGGAAGGGATGTAGGGATGAACGGATAAAGGAAGGGAAGGAAAGGAGGGATGAAGGGATGTAGAGAGGAAGGGATGTAGGGATGAGGGAATAAGGGAAGGGGGGACGAAGGGAAGAAGGGATGTAGGGATGAAGGGAAGTAGGGAAGTATAGGGATGAGTGGATAAAGGGATGTGGGGATAAAGGGATGAAGGGATGAGTGGATAAAGGGATGAGTGGATAAAGGGATGTGGGGATAAAGGGATGAAGGGAAGTAGGGATGAAGGGATGAGGGGATAAAGGGATGTAAGGATGAAGGGATGAGGGGATAAAGGGATGTAGGGATGAAGGGATGAAGGGAAGTAGGGATGAAAGGGGGTAGGAATGAGGGGATGAAGGGATGACAGGAAGTCGGGATGCGGGGATGAAGAGATATAGGGATGAAGGGATTTAGGGAAAGGGGATTGGTGGATGAAGGATGTGGGTGAGGATGAAGGGATCAGGGAGGGAGTCAGGGATGTAGGGATGATTAAATGAAGGTGGTCGACGGCTGAAGGGATGAAGGTGTTTGGTTAAGGATGAGGTAGAAAGGGTAATGTATGAGAAGGGAGAGTGAGGGTGGGTTGAGAGAATGGAGACCAACAGTGGCCAGATGTTTGGACCAGTTATAAATAGACTTAGCAGTGATAAGAGATGGGGTTGAGGCGTGGCCGCTCCTGAACCTAAGTCAACAACTTAACTTCATTAAAAGTACCATCAAGCACAAAAAACCGCATACAATTCTACAAAGTAACACAAACAATCGTAAGCTACAATAAAGTTGTAGGAGTCTAATGCTTACTAAGCCGTTGTTGATTATTTCTATTGTTATTATTTGTTTACATTGCACACAGTTGTAATTAGTCAATTCCTGCAATTGACACATGGGAGTGTTTTAAGGTATTTAGTACACCTGTTGTGCTGGGCTTGTGTGGAAAGACAAAGAGGGTGATTTTATTCAGATACCTTGTTGTCAACCTTGTTGACCGTATGATCTTGCTGGTATATTGTTGTTTTGCATCCTTTAATAAATTGGATGGACCAAAAACTTCAGTACGGTCTTCTTGGTTGGCAACTGAATTAATTGGCTATTTAGCTGCTACAAAAGTATTATTCATTACTGCAAAGCAGGCTACCACAAACTAACAGACGGAGTTGAATGTGCTCCAAATCAAGAAAACAACCACAAGAAACACAAGGTGATGATGTGTAACAAATAATTAAAATGCACCACAGCCGTGAAGCTTTTAGTTGTTTAGTTTTTGGCAAACTACTTTTTCACAATTATACATCAATATTGTAAAAAAAACTAACGGTCAAACTTAATCAGTTTCTTGTTTTCTTAAAGATTAGATGTGGAAAAACCTCTTTCCCACTCACACTTAAAGTTCAGAATCACACATAAGCACTGCTGCCTCTATGGTGAGACCCGACACCAACTGAAAGAATTATCATATTGTATAAATAAACAAACATGATGTGTCCACCTGCCACCACAGCTGAAGGAGAAGCTTATTTTAAGCATCAGCCCCGGTTACAGATCATATCAGTGCTTGGGTTCAGATTGTCTAATGAAGTGAAATGAGTCCCGGTGCAGTCATGTGAATAGAGTCTGGTGAACTGTGTTGATGAGGCTGCAGGCTTCCTGTGGATATAAACAATAGCTCAGTTTTTACTGGGGACGAGGACCAACACAAATGTCACACAAATCACTGAAAGTTCATAATTATTTGATTGACACTTGCACATCTTATAAACCCTTGCTAATGAGAAACTGAGTCATCCTGTTGCCAAGTGTTGCTAATGAGATGTATGTGTCACATTTCAACTTATATTCAAATCATTATTTTTCTTTAAAGAGGACCTATTATGGTTATTTTTCAGGCTCATATGTGTATGTTGTGTCTCTACTGTGAAATGGCTCCATGCTCTAATGTTCAAAAAGCTCTTTATTTGTCTCATACTGCCTGAGCTGCAGCACCTCTTTTCAACCTCTGTCTGAAACCAGAGCCCAGTCTGCTCTGATTGGTTAGCTAGCCGGCTCTGTTGTGATTGTTCAACCTGCTTAAAGATGTCCAACCTCTTAGCAGATCACCTACGATGTGTTGGGGCACTAGCTAATAAAAGCACGAGTTCTACTTAGCGATATGAAATAAAACTATATAACACACTAAAAGGAATATAAGTGACCCCTAGTGTTTATATAGTGTACTTGTCAGAATGTCCTAATGTGAAATCAGATCATTCAGTATTATTGACTCACTTTCTAAAAGGCTTCTGCATATAATCACATTGCTGTTATGACAGTGTTGTTTCCTGCAGGTAAACAACAAAGGAACTTTACTTGGTTAAATGATGTTTATTTAAAAATATATAGAAACAGTACAGCAACATGAGACAGTGTGGGTATTCACACATCATTGCAACCCTGTTCACCTTCAACTCAAACTGGAAAAAAACAATACACAAATTAAATCACACATCACAGCAGCACTTTAACCCCAAAACCCATCACAACTGTATACACTGCATCAAACTGTGTTTCAATGAATTTTCTTGATTATGACACCACAATACTTTGAACATTGTGTGGGTCACAGTGTATTTTAAATCAGTGAAGAAAAATAATGAAATAAAAATTAAAGTGGTGGCTTCTAATACATCTATGTACAGTACAATGGGTACTGAATTAGGAAGTTCTCATTAAACCTACTGCAATGAAAATAAAAAATATTCAGTCAATTCCTTATAGTATAACGTTGAAAGCACATACTCAGCATGAACACACAAGTAGGACACATTTGAATTACATTTTGGTGTCAGCAAATAACTCTACCGAGAAACTTTCCTGCCTTTTAACAACTCAAGTGTGGGTCTTTAGGAATGAGAATGTAATCAAAACATCGTAAAAGGCAATGGTTAATGGGTGACATTTAAAAAATAATGTTGATGTCAGTCACTTATGGTTGAAAAAGAATGAAAAAATGATAATATTAACCTATTCTTATTTTTGTTATCGATTTGACTTTTGTTTTTCTTGTAACTGAGCAGTGGAACCCTTAACAAACCAAAAAAGGAAAAGAGAAAGGCCTTCCCAGGATAAAATCACCTGAACAATACCTGTCACAACAGGAGTGAACAAAGAGGAGACATATATACACGCAACTTTGAACAATAAGGCCAGAAAAGTTATGATGGGACGATCACATCAAAATAACGCAATACATTCTCCTACAATTCTAAAGAGTATCCTTTGTTTGTTATAACTCTATAACGGTTTGACTCCTGCTTCTTGCCAATATGGCTGTTTGACTTTTAAATGATGGCACATGCTCCATTCCACGCCCTTTCTTACACTGTTCACTGTCTATAAAACTGACAGCGGTTGCAAATGTTGTCAATACAGTATGACAGTGTTTTGGTGATGTAACCCGGTTTTTTTCTGACAAAGTATTGTGGATGCATTGGGAAAATGAATGTCATTCAATGCTTCCCAAGTCAAACGGTCGTGGATTCCTTCAGCAGCTCCATTCAGTCGACATCCCATGCTTCCGACAAACGTCACAAATTCTCCGCTCTATGAAGACCCTTCTTCCAGCTGCTCGTCCTGAAAGGGGTAGCTGAGTGCGGGGGGAAAGCCCTGACTCCGAGGCTGCTCGTCCAACAACACCAAATCCTCCACATCTTTCCCTTTGTACCTCCGTCTGCAGATCTTTACTGTCACCTTGCGCCCCTGAAAGACTTTTAGGGCCTCTTTGGAAGCCATGGCCTTGGCGGCGGCCTCGTCGCGCCCGTATCCTGTCCCCATGTAAACAGTCTGACAGCGAATCTCACACACATGGCCTTCCTTCTGTGTGCGCCCTGCAGGGAGGCCAGTGATGTCCTTCAGTGGCACGTACACACAGGCCATGGTCTCTTTACATGACTCCACACAGCTACGAAGTATTTCAAAATGGTCCAAGTTTGGACCGAAGCCACCCGCGGACACCAGCTTCCACGCCACTGCCTTGTAGAGGCGGTTAAAGAAGGGCTGGTGCTCTGCTGGAGCCTGTGGAAGAGGGCCTGATTTCCTCGAGGATTTCGCTCTCTTCCCACCGCTGTCAGATTCACCCTCTGCAAAGGTGGACACAACAGGCAGGACATTGATGAGTGCACAAAGAAAGCAAATTTAATGAGGAAAAACGATCCTGTCTTAGGTTTCTCAGGTGTGAAACAAACAAACCTGCATGTAGGTTATTACACTGAAACAGAAATAAACACTATGTTGGTCCATAAAAAGACAGAGAAACTTTTTGCACAAAGTTCTTCCCACTATCTAACTTATCCATAACTTCCAAGTAGTCACCTCAATTAAAAAGACTATTCAAGGTAACGGGAATTTAATAAATCCTCTTAACTAATGCATGAATGGCAACAAAATATAAAAATAACAGAGATTCAACAAAGTGATGTTCAACTACAACAAAATGTATCGATGTTATTACTTTGTATTAGATGTTGTCATTTATTGTATTTATTTTTGTACATGCACCACTATATATCATGAGGCGTACACTATACAATTGTAAGAATATTTTAGGGCAAATAAAAGAACACCAATGTCAAGATGTTGTGGATTTATGCTTCAAATTGGTGTTTGTTGATCATTTTTTATCCTTGTTGAGACTCCTTGTGGTGGTGCTAGATTCCATTGTGACGAAAATTGCTACTACTATTTTGACTACCATGTATAAAAATATCAGAAATACATTAAGATGAAGCTATTTATCTCTCACTTTGTATTCCTAACGAGCTAAACTGTCAAAATAATGTGTCAAAATCTGTTACCACCCGAGTTATTCCTGGTTAAATAAAAGGATTTCAGCCTCATCATTCACTGTAACTGCTAAGTAAATACAGTAGTCTGCTTTATTAAAAGTGTGTATTGCATTACCAGTTGTGGCACTCCGCTTTCCTCTGCCCTGGATTCCATCTTGTGTCGTTTTATGAACTGGGGCATCTTGGACAACTATCCCATCACCCATCTCCTTGATCTTGTCCATTACTGCCTGTGGATAGCTGAGGAATAAAAAGAACAAATAATCATCATCTGTGTGCCTCTTTCTTTGCTTTCTAGATATTATAGCTCTGCTCTCGTCTTACTAGCAGCCCAGGAAAACGTTGTTGGCCCAGACCATGGACAGAGAGAGCAGCCTGTCCAGACTGCTGCTGGGGACTCCGTGCTCCAATGTGGGGAAAGCCTCCATGTTTCTAAGTATGAACTCTCTACGAGCTACCCACTGTTTGTTGCTCTCGCAGTAGCTCCTGAAAGTGTCGACCCATTGGGCCAGCTCGGGGTTCTGGCCCAGGTACTCTGAAACGGTGTCCTCTTCGCTCTTCTCCCCCGCCATCCCTGCAATAACAAACACTTGTTCAATTATTTGTATGGCATCTAAGTAAGTACTGCTAGCGTGAGAGAGGCTAACAAGTCTAGTTAAACCCAACACGTTTTTAGAAGACTTGTTATATTGATGTACCTAATAGTTTTTAGAACGCATACAGCTTGTGTTTTGTTGCTAACTTGCCAGGCAACGTTATTAGCCACATTAAGCTAACCAGTTGATGTTTTACAGAGTGCGACTGACAAACCGACTTTAGCAACAAAGCCAAAAGGCTATATTAGCCAAGTAAAAATAGCAGAAGCCACGTTGATAATTACAACATTGTATCAACCTTAACAATATTAAAATGACGTGCTATCCATATCTTCTACACCCTGTATGAAGTACTAATTTAACCTGTAACTACGACATACCAAGCTCTCTCCGTTGTGATGTGCTGCTAGCTTCCTACATGACAGACTGATGACGCAAGATTGACTACTACGCTGAATTTCTTTAGCTAGAGGAACTTCATTACCCAGAAGCGCAGTGCTAGCTACAGGTGCTAACGTTTGTTACAATTTCTAACATGGTTAACGTCTCATAGTACGATAACAACTATTAATAGATCACTTTTGATAGATTTTGAAATTAAATTAAAAGGTGAGCGAAAGAGAAAGGACGTACTGTAGTTACCTCTGTTGGCTAGCAACCAGCCCGTGTCCCATGATGCTTTGCGTCGTAACGTAGCCAACCTGCGACAGACAGCTCGGGCGGCGGTTTGTTTTGGATGAGATGCTCACTGCTGCATGTTCTACGTTTATCAATTAAAGGTGAATTAACATGATTCACGAGCTGTTGCTGGCGTTGAGTGGGTACCCGGGGACCATTTTCACATGGAACAAACGAACGGGTTTGCAGGTAAAACTAAAACACGGAAACATGCAGCTCTTTATCAAAACAGCGCCTCTGATATGCCATTTACATGCTAGCTAGCTGTAAATCTACTTTGCTGAAAGCACAAGTATAGCCTACTTATCTGCTCTGTTGTGGATTTACACAGTACCACTGACCAGTTTATTTGGAATTCTATATATTTTCACTGTATATTACTTCTTACTGCAATTGTTGAACATGTATCCTGTGTTGAATACAGTTGTATCTTATCCTGTCGTACCCTACGTATATATATATAAATATAGCAAAGTTAACCTAACCTTTATTTTACGGACTGAGGGAGGGAAGCAAAACTGAGAGAACATGCCAACTTTACACAACAGTGAGATAACAGTGCTAACCTCTGCACTGTCATGCCACACTGTATAGATAGATGTATAGATAGATAGATAGATAGATAGCACAACGAGCTAATTTTTATTATAAAGAAAAGGAATGTGGATATATCTATTCAGAACAAGGTTCAAGCATGCAAGCCTCATTTATACAGCACTGTAAAACTGGCATGCTACAGGGTTAAACAGGTCTATATGTAGAGAAAAAGTGTTTGGCATTGTGCATCACTGTAACTGTATTAGAGGCTCACAATGTTTATTTTTGGACATGAACCCCTTTCCACCCACAGGTGTCCCAGGACCTGCCCTTCCTTCACCCCAGTGAGACCAGTGTCCTCAACCGGCTCTCTAAACTGGGCACAGATTACATACGCTTCACAGAGTTCATAGAACTACACACCGGCCATGTGCATCAACAGGTACAACATTTAAGATAGTTAGCTTGCTAAAGCTAAACGTTCAGTTTGTGAAAGAGTCCCTAAGCCCTCCCTATCTAAACTGTCTTTCTCTTTTTAAATGTTTTAAAAATCATGCTCTATGTAATGGGTTTTTCTCAACATGTCTTTCTTTAGGAACATCACACGAACCAGCCCAACCAGACGGGACTTCATGGCATTTACTTGCGGGCTTTCTGCACGGGGCTGGACTCCATCCTGCAGCCGTACAGACAGGCCCTGCTGGACCTCGAGCAGGAGGTAAAATGATGACACACAGCAACAAGAACACATGTTGGAGCATGTGACGTGATGCTCATTCGACCTGTGTATGTGTTTCAGTTCCTTGGAGATCCACATCTGACAATATCTCATGTGAATTACAAGCTCGATCAGGTAAAGCATAAATAAACTTTAAAAAGGTCTTTTTTTTTCATTACAAATATACTAAACACACTTTCAGTGGAAAGTTATTCCACATTCTACATATGTTTGTCTAACACTCTACTTTCTTAAAGTTCCAGTTGCTGTTTCCCTCTGTGATGGTGGTGGTGGAGACTATAAAATCACAGAAGGTAAGTGTTGTTTTATAAAAGCATTTTATCAGGAAATGTGAACTCAGGGCAGCGTGAAGTGCATGCCCATGATGAAAAGGGGACAAATTGCTCAACTGAAAAAGGTTAGGACAGGCCTCCACTTCACCATAACTGCAAAGAATAAAGAATATTAACTTGACAAAGATGTTGGGTTTGTGTGCTACCAACACAGCCCTGGTTGAACTACAGACCAGTGGTCTTGATGCACACTAGCACTGATTTGATCACATCTTATTTTTCCAACATTTCAGAAATGTGCCAAACTTGCTGAACAATTTGAAAAAAATACTATTGTTTTACGGTGCAACCCATGTCTCTGTACATTTTCTTTAGACTAAATGAACAAAGAGACTGATAGAAACATGATGTTTAAACTGGGACGGCACTAAGGGGAGTTTCTCAAATGAAAAGAACACTTGACTTATCTATATTAACACTTGTTTAATAGAACTGACAGCTATGCTCTGTTCTCTTTGACTTTGGTGCGTCACTTTAGATCCACGGCTGTCAGATCCTGGAGACGGTGTACAAGCACAGCTGTGGGGGGCTCCCTCCTGTACGCATGGCCCTAGAAAAGTGAGTCAGAATACCTTAGGACACACTTTCATTCATGTTTGAAAGCTAGGGGAAGGGTCATCTATATACCTCATGTTCCTTTTTATACTATTACTGTTAAATCCGTTTTTTCAATTGTATTTCTATTGCATACTATACTATGACTTTTAAATGAGGTTTTCAAGACATGCTATCATTCAATTCTTACTACTTTATAATACTAGGACCTAGGGCTGCTCGATTATGGCAAAAATCATAATCTCGATTATTTGGGTCAATAATTGATATCACGATTATCCATTTACTTTGAAAACATCAATTTATTGGAGAAAAAAAATATGAACAGTATGTTTTTAACAATTAATTACCCTGAACTTTAAGTATAATTCAACTGAAAAACCAAAAAAAAAAAAAAAAGTATTTGAAAAAAAAAAAAAAAAAAGTTATAATAATAATAAAAACATAATCGTTTTATTTCGATTACGTTGTTTTTGTAATCGTTGCAAGCCATAATCGTAATTGCGATTAAAATACGATTAATTGAGCAGCCCTACTAGGACCTTTTTAATTGCAAGTCATATGACGTACTATAACTTTAAAATGGCATATTTTTTAAATATTTTATTTATTTACATTTTTATTTTATTTATTTTACATTTTAAGGAAATACTGTACTATGACTCTTCGAATGATATTTCATGGCTTCTTTTAGTAGCATATAAAGAAATATTTGTATTAGTGATGAGTGTAAGTGATATAAAGACACTAAATAACCCTGTTGAAATAGATCATTATTTTAGATGATGATTTAGTGCGTGGTGGGTTGGCAGAGACATATAACCAAGGTGATAACTGGAAGAAGCTTAAATAGTGAGGTGTCAAGATTTCAAAAGTAAAGTGTGTCATGATTTTATTTCTGCTTTTCATAAAAAAATCTATTTTCTGATACCTAAAACATTAGTTTTTACATGGTGCAGGATTCTTGCCGTGTGCCACGGGGTGATGTACAAGCAGCTGGCAGCGTGGATGCTGCACGGTTTGCTGCTGGACCAGAGCGAGGAGTTCTTCGTGAAGCAGGGGCCCAGTGCAGGGGGGGCTGCTGCCAACCAGGAGGAGGAGGAGGAGGACCTGGGGCTGGGGGGCTTGAGTGGGAAACAGCTGCGGGAACTACAGGACCTGGTGAGAACTACAACCAGACACACAAGATCACACCTATCATCAGTATGTGTTTCAAACAGACTCCTGACCCTGTGCTTCTGTGTGGGGGGGGGGCAGAGGCTGATCGAGGAGGAGAACATGCTGGCTCCGTCCCTGCAGCAGTTCTCCCTGCGGACAGAGATGCTGCCGTCCTACATCCCCATCAGAGTGGCTGAGAAGATCCTCTTCGTTGGAGAGTCCGTCCAGATGTTTGAAAACCACAACCACAGCCACAGCCCCTCGAGAGCCGGTAGTGTATTTAGCTGGGATCCAAGTGACATCTTGCACTTTAGCAAAGTCACTGTTTTGTCTTTATATCACAAAGACAATACAACTCAATATTGTTTTGTGTATTTCAGGCTCCATACTGAAGCACCAGGAGGACTTGTTTGCTGCCGGGCTGCACAGACTCAAACAGCAGCCTCTGTTCAGCCTGGTGGATTTTGAAAATCTGATCGATCACATCAGGAGCACAGTAGCAGAGGTGAGCTCATACACAAATGATTCATCTAATTCTTTAACCAGTGTTTCCGTTATGCTGGTCATCGTGTCTAAAGATTTAAATACCCCGGACAACATGATCTGTGTTTATTTTGGAGCTTAAAAACAATGAATAAGAAGGCAATATAAAGAATGACATCATCAAGGCATGCAGATGAATGTATTATTTAACAGTAGAAATGAAAGCCCACGCCGTACCTCTTAACACAAAGCATTTCTCTAGGTCTTAGGCCTTCATATCATTTTCTCATATTTTTGTGAAACAATACATATAACAAATCAAAGTACATGTAGTAGGCCTGTGTGGCTCAGAGAGTGCTGACTCATCTATTATTCATTTTTTTAATACCGTTCAAATTGTGCTTGTTGGGGATTTTGTTAACATGTCATCATGAGTTCAATTTTGTCGTATTTCAACAGATCTTTCCAGTCAAAGTTCAGTAAATACCGGCTAGCATAAACTCAGCTTTTAACTTGATAACACTCCAAAAAGCCCCCACTCTCAATGTGACCAGATAAATTCCTCTCTCCCTGTCCCTCGCAGCACCTCTGGACCCTGATGGTGGAGGAGTCGGACCTGCTCGAACAGCTCAAGGTCCGTATGGATCTCAGTCTTTCTCAATTATAAATCAGAGATGAATCAACGATGGTAACTTTTGTTTTCTCTTGCAGATTATAAAGGACTTCTACCTGCTGGGTCGTGGCGAGCTCTACCAGGTGTTCATCGACCTGGCGCAGCACATGCTGAAGACCCCCCCCACAGCCGTCACTGAGCACGGTAATCTGACACGCAGACTAGAACAATACATTTACACCTGCAACAACCACAGCAGGGTGTAAGGGTCCATTGATATTTATAGATAAAACTGTTTAAGTGTATCCATCCAACGTCATAATGTCACATATCGTATTATATGTATAGTTATAATATAGTTAGGTAATAAGGACGTCAAACTACTTAAATAAGCAGCATTGGGGTATTATTTACCCCATTTGGGATTTAGAGATTGTTGTTTGGGTATATATAATGACTGATGTTATGTAACTTAGAGAATTAACATAGTTTAAAATGTATCAAGTGATGCTTCCTTTTAATATTTGTTCAGATCAGTGTTGCAAATCTACAGGTTTACGTGCATGACTGATGAAATGTTTAGAAATCAGTAAATGCAGAGAGCTTTTTTTTTTTATTCAAATGATTTTGTGTCCTATTCAGAACTTATTTACTATTTCAGTTGTCAGAAGAAAAACTGTGTACATTTTGAGACTTTGTGTGTTCTGCTCCACAGATGTAAACGTGGCGTTCCAGCAGGCGGCTCACAAGGTGCTGCTGGACGACGACAACCTGCTGCCGCTGCTGCACCTCACCGTGGACTACCAGGGCAAGGACAGCAAAGGTGCGCTGCTGAATGAACTAATGCATGTATTCATTTGATTTTAGGACGATGCTCTACTTCATTAAGTGTTTAGCGCCATCCAGTGGTGTTATCCTCAAACTGAAGCAGAATTAAGAGTCAATTGAAATACATTTAACTAGCAACAATTTGAATCATTTCACTTATTTTCTAAGCAAAAATGCATCACATCTTCCATTTGTCAAATTTGATGATTTTCTGCTTCTCTTTGGTATATATATATATATATATATATAAAATAGATATTTTGTTTTGTTTAGCAGTTCAGAATGTAGGCCGGATTAAAAAAACAGAATATGAAGATGTCGTATTTGGCTCAGGAAATCTAATGTACGTTGTATGGACAAAACTCTAAATCAGTTACTTGTAAAAACCTAATTGTCAGATAAATCAATTATGGCACAGCTCTGTTTGAATCATGAGCTCAAGGGAAATGAGTCTGCAATGAATCAAAAGCTTCAGATCAGTTGCAATCATTACAGAACCAAACCGAAGCCTCTCCACACAGTGGGAGGTGATCAGACTCATTTAGTGAATGGTGATTCTGGTTGTCTTTTCAGAGGCGACAGGCCCCAGAGATAGCGCCACTCCTCCTCAAGACACGCCCCCCCGGGAGGTCCCCACCACAGGGTGGGCGGCTCTCGGCCTCATCTACAAGGTCCAGTGGCCGCTGCACATCCTCTTCACCCCCGCTATCTTGGAGAAGTGTGTACTCATTAAGCTCCACTCTGTAGCATTCCTTTTAATACGTGTGTTTGTTTAGAGCACAGCCTGTGAACTCCCTCTCCCTCCTCAGGTACAACGTTGTGTTCAGGTACCTGCTGAGTGTGCGCAGGGTGCAGTCTCAGCTGCAGCACTGCTGGGCCCTCCAGATGCAGAGGAAGCACCTGAAGTCCAACCAGACCACCGCCGTGAAGTGGAGACTGCGCAACCACATGGCCTTCCTCATCGACAACCTGCAGTACTACCTGCAGGTAACCACGCTGGGAGAGGGGCAGCAGGGGCACATGCAGACATATTGACTACCTATAAATCTAAGTTTATTTTTAAACGATACGATTCTTTAAGCACCTTCTGAACTATATTTCAAAATTATTGCTGGTATCATTTTTTATCACCTTTCTCAAGTTTTATAATAATTTAGGTTCATGAATTTAAATACAGACTGTATGGATATGCAATACAGAGTCACAGTTTTACGTGGTGGTTGTTTCAAAAGAATGATAAAAAAGTCTTACTATTGTGTGTCGTAAGAAATTATAAAAGTCAAACATGTCTTACTATTGTGTGGAGAAAAAAGAAAATGTAAAAAAAAGTGATACTATAGTATGTTGTCAAAAATATGTTCGTCATAAAAATGTATTAAAAAAAGTAATATAGTGTTCTTAAAAATATGATAAAAAGTAATTTTAGAATGTTGTAAAAAATATTTTAAAAAGTCATAAGATAAGTTGTAAAAATTATAAAAAGTAAATCTATACTTTGTGGTAAAAATCTGAATTTCAAAATGAAACTAAAGTGTACGCATATCTTAATTAATCTTAAGAAAATATTTCTTGTGCATGTTCTTGATGTATGCATCTGGTCCCAGTCGTCGCTTCACTTCATGTTAAGTTAAAATCGCAGCAGGTGAGCCCGTCTGATGCATTGCATTAGCTGAATACATTCTGTAACTTCATCTCCTTGTTTCTGTCTCCAGGTGGACGTGCTGGAGTCTCAGTTCTCTCAGCTGCTGCAGCTCATCAACTCCACCCGAGACTTTGAGAGCATCCGATTGGCCCATGACCACTTCCTCAGCAACCTGCTCGCCCAGTCCTTCATCCTGCTGAAGCCGGTATAAAAACATGGCTAACTTGTGTTGGAAATTAACTGTCTGCCTAAATACATACATTTTTCAGACTAATAGCGTTTTCATAAAGTCTTCCACGCTTGTGCCCTCAGGTGTTCCACTGTCTGAACGAGATCCTGGAGCTGTGCCAGAGCTTCTGCTCGCTGGTCAGTCAGAGCGTGGCGTCTCTGGACGAGAGAGGGAGCGCTCAGCTGGACATCCTGGTCAAGGTGCAGTCTCCTATCTCCTCATTGGTGTGATGCTGGAACATAAAAAGCTATACTCTGTAACACTGCCATGTTTTAATTTCAGGGCTTCAGACGGCAATCCTCCTTGCTGTTTAAAATCCTCTCCAGCGTGAGGAACCATCAGATAAACTCAGATCTGGCTCAGCTGTTGCTGCGACTGGACTACAACAAATACTACACCCAGGCTGGGGGCACTCTGGGCAGGTAGGATATGGAAGACATTTTTTTTTACTTAGTTTCCAGGTGCAGATATCACATACCCAACTCTCTTGAGACAACTAATGTAATTATTTTCTAAATGTCTTTCTTTTCAGTGTTTAAGAATCGCCCATCAGTCCTGCCTATTGGACTTGCCCTGAACAGAATACTGTTAGTATGGAATGCCTGTTTAAAGTATTTTAAGGGTTAGCTCACCCAAAATATAAAATCATATATTCCTTACTGACCTGTGAAAATATTTAGCCATGCAGACAGATGTTTTGTTTTCAGATGCACAATGACCTCACTGTGAACAGATTTCCGAGGGACTATTTCTTTGGTGGAAAGTAGTTCCAGTGACAACTGGTGAGTTTTGTGGATTAAACACAATAATCTAATAGGCCTAGTGTGATTGAGTTTAACACTTGATTGTATTCAACAATCCAATCCTGGATTAAGAACTGTTTATATATCAACTAAATAAATATTTTTACTCAAGTAAAACTACTTAGTTGCTATTGTTACATCACCTGCTTTATATTTAGCATACAAATATAAATACCAAAATGTTGAAGGATTCATTTAGAATACTTTCCTGTGATACATTGTCATGAAAACTGACTGTAGTTCAAACTTATATAAACCTGCTTTAAAACCAAATTACTTGAAAATAACCCTGGCATATCTTAAACATAATTTTGTAAAGACAAGCTCCTCAAATCAATCAGTGAATCAAATGTTCCCTGATTTGAGCAACACCTCCATGAATTGTGGGAATGTGTTTGTGCTTTGGGTGATCTGACTCTGAGCTCATTATCCTTGTATAAACTGTAAATATGAAACCATGTGTACCGTTTTCTGCAGAGAAAATAAACTCCAATGGATTAAAATGAAACAACAAGGTCACTGTTTTAATGTCCCATAAAAACAGACAGGAGAAAGTTATATACAGCAGAGGCATGCAATGGATCTAATGCTGAACATTTATCATGGTCCAAGGCATTTAACATGTGATTAGGAGGAGGAAGAGGAAGAGTAGTCATGGCGATACTGAGGCTTGCTGTGGAAACCCATGCGCTCCCCGCGGATGACGCTCTGGATGATCCACTCAGGGGACACCAGCGGGACTTCCTGTGATGTCACGTTTTTCTCCACCAATGGCGGGCAGGCACTGTCTGTCACCACGAGGTCGTACTTGCCCGCAGGAATGTCTGCAGAGCGAGGGAAGAACAAACTGTTAGAAAAAGTGTGAAGTTAAATTGAACACACATGTAAAGTTGAGAGTCTGTACCTGAGCCGTCCTTGTCCGTCTGGAAGTGTCGGACAGACGAACCTCCACCCATGGTGATCAGCTGCGCCCAAAGCTCCACCGGCTTCTCAAACACCAGAAGGACCCGCAGGGCTTTGAACGGGCTGCAGCGCGGATGCCTGATCGGAGAGAAAATAGTTCTCGAGTCCACTTTTGGCATCATGTAACATAATAGTTTCTTCTCTCCAAGGAAAGTCTCATTTCTGTTTCAGATACGTTTCAAATTCTTGTAAATTAAACAAAGTATAGGTAAATTCAAGAAAGATAAATTCCAATCTGAGATTTAATATAACACAGATTACAAAGCAATCACTCATGCAAAATTAAAGGGGACCTATCATGCAAAATGCACTTTTATACATGAATATGTGTCCCCGGTGTGTCAGGGAACTCACCAAGTGTCAGAAAACACAACCCTCTCTTTTCCTCCATACCCAAATCTCTAAAAATGGGGCTGCAACGGAGCTGATTATTATTTGAATTTCTGACGTCAGAAAAGGGGTGCTCCGCCTATATGGGCAACTCTCCACCTATCAGGGGAATGAGAGACCGCTGGAGACGCTGTAGTACATATGCCAGGCCTGTAAGTGGCGCTGTAGTCTATTGCAGTTTATTATAGTTTTTTAGAACTAAATTATAAACATTCAAATTTTTCTTTTCTTTATTTTACATACCCTTAATCGTCCCACAGAGGGTACATTTACATTCTGCATTTGACCCATCCTAGTGTTAGGAGCAGTGGGCTGCCATTTTGTACGGCACGCAGGGATGGGCTGCCATTTTGTACGGTACGCGGGGAGCAGTGTAGGATAATTAAGGATGTAGTCAAGCAAAGTCTTGCTAATATTCTTTTAAACTGGTTATAGATCCTGTAATAACTGAGTAACGGATAGAACAACAGGCAAGAAGACCTTCAAACCTCCAGCTTTATCATTTTCATGGGATTTATCTTTGAGGAAAGCAAAAGATCCTTCTGTAACTAGAATGCTTAAACAACCCTATATCATTTCTACCGAATCCATCTAGTGTAACCCAAAGAATAAATAATGCTGATCCCCTCACCACTCCACTACGGCCTCGTCGGGCCCCGCTCCGGCGGGAAGCAGGTAGTTCCTGTAGTTGAGCAGCTTGTTCTCTTTGCAGCAGTCTCTCACCCAGATGTGCGACACACTGGGCACACCGCTGGCCAAACACAGCAGGTACTTCCTGGTGCGGCAGTGCTGGTCTGCAATCAGCAGGCTCTGATAGGCTGCCTTACACTGCAGAGGACAGGAAGGAGAACATGTGTGTGTTAAATACCTTAGCAGAAGCTGTGATTATATTTATCATGACTTAGTACTCAAGAATATAATTGCATAAGATCACACCTTAAATAACACGTATCCAGAGCTTTATCAGTGGAGAGTATAACAATTTGAACTAGAGAATGCAATTCCTGAAGAAATTGCTAGTGGGAATGCTTTATGCTGAAAAGCTGACGCTAAACTGCTATGCTGAAATGTAATGTGTAAGCAGAAAGTGAAGAATTTAGATTGAAATGATACATGAACACTGGGGGCTTGAATGTGTGATGAGAGAAGAAAAGAAAGTAAAAAGGCTTGGAAAAGCAGCAAAATATTTGAAGTGCAAACTTTTGAACTAACTTGATGGTGAATGATCTGTCGCCATGCCAACGGCATTTGATGACATCCATTAATACGCTTAGATGCGTTGATGGCTGCATCGTTACCAAACCTGTGAAGTTATGAGAAAACCGTGTTTCATGGCGAGCATTGTGTTGCCATGGCAACGGCATTTGAAGAAATCTCAAAACTGTCCCGTAGATGTCTTCACGGCTGGACTGTTAGCACACATGTGAAGTTTGAGCACTTTTTGAACATTTTCATAGGAGTTAATGTATAGTGACATCGTCTTTTATGGCAAGGGATGCGTTTCCATGGAAACGGCATATGATGACACCCCATAATTGATGTAGAGCTGTTGAGGGCAGGACCATTAACCATTATCTGAAGTCTGCTGCTCTGAGCATGTTAGTTGGAGTTATGACATCGTGTTCCATGACACAGGTGTTTATATTTGAGCTAACGACGTGTCCAGAGATCAAAGGTTTCCATGGTGATGTGCAGTAATCAGTGAGAGGAGAGCATTTTCATTGTTCTGAATGAGAGATAAACCTCTTACATGTGAACGTTTTGTTGAAGAACCCTAACAGATATCGATGAAATTTCAAAGCGTGAATTATGTCAAGGAACTTGAGCATCTGAAGTGTACTTTTTGTGTACTTTCGGGTTAATAATGTGGCCTTTTTGGCAGATTAACTAAAAGGTGTGCGGCTGCTGTGGTGGGGAAAGATGAGGCTGAACTTACAATGGGGTTTAATGGAGACATGTTGAACGTTTTTGTCACTTCATGCCCTCAAGAGGCATTTTGTTTAATTATTTTGCTTAATTTTTTTTTTTTTTCAAGCTACGAGATGTTTTCCTACGTTTCTCATGAAAAATGATGTCTCAGGAATGTAGGGTTTGGGAATTATGGCAGGTTTAAAAGAAAATATGAAGGAAAAATTAATTCTGTCCTCCACTCTAGCTGTGACATCACGCACTCTAAAATCTGAAGAAGGCCTCTTTACCAAGGTCTGAACAATGTTTAATATCTCTATAAGTACGAATCAGATTTAAAAGTTGTGTTACACGAATAATGTCAGAAAGATGTGTAACATTTTAAAGTATGAAGGAGCAGTTAGCAGTTGAAGTCGCATGAAGATTGTTCAAGTCTGAAGAGTTTCTCCATGTTAAAAATTTGATGAATTATGGGATGTGTATCTGGAATTATGAAAGTTATGAATGAGAAAAGTAATAGAGTGGCGAAGTCACGCCCATCTACTTCCGGTCCATGGGACCTTATTTCGGAAAAATTATGTATTGAAGTCAATGGAGAGAGAAAACTTATCTTTCGATCCCGTTTGAATTGTGCCACGAATTACACATATGATGTTTGTCAATCTTAAAAAATCATTTCCATGTCAAAAAAGTCACAGTTTGTCGTAAAACTGTTGAAATATAAGACTATGAAAAATACGCAACTAGAAAGACTACAAATCCCAGAGTAAGTGATGTCACTCATAACTGATGTCACAATTGTTTTCCTCCACTAAAATAGAGATAGCTAAGATAAGATAACTTTAACAAGATGCCTGTGTGCTTAGTACCAGGTTGTTATCATACCAGCAATGGGTCTTGCTCGTTCTTTCGCTTCCCGTCTGATGAAAGGACCAGGAGTGGCTGGATCAAGTTAGCTACCTAGCTAGTAGCTAGCACGTTAGTTAGCATTACAGCCGGCTTAGCCTTGTCATTTTTATTAGCCTTAACATTAAGTAACATTAAGTAACCCAAAATGTTAAACAGTAAGAGTAGTAGTCATATTTCGTGAACCCTTTGAAGAGTACTGTCACACCGGTGTGATCATTCTATAATACACCATTTAAGCCCGGGGGAGAAATGCTAACGCTAACGCTACATTAGCATCGGCTATCTGCACAAATCGTTGACATTAAACATTAAAAAGATCAGGCAGTTCAGAGAGAATCAAAGGCAGGCAGGCAGGCAGCTTTGCATGACATTCTTCTGGACGTGTTTCATTGTGGTAGTCAATCCCTTTTTTGACAAGACAGTAGTGACGGCCATCTTGGTGACGTGTGTTGTTGTCCAAGAGATGTAGTTCATTGAGCGTTTCACACAAAAAAATGTGTTACTTCACAGTTTTACGACATTTTTTTTTTGACGTTTTGATTTTTGAACGGAGTTTCTGCGATGTGGAATGTGGGAGAAGAAGAGGTGCAAAATAACCCGGCGGAATAATAAAGAATTTCGTGCGTAGCATAACAGATAGTTGGAATGCTGTATCAGCATCTTAAAACAACATGTATCACCGTGTGTCACATGCTTGCACATAATGAGTGAAATTTGGAAAATAGAGAATATCTGCTACCATTTGTTATTCGAGACAAAGCTGCAGATGACAGAAAATCTGACCAATTTTAGCAAAATAATAATTGATGGCTATAAAATACTTCTTACACATTTTTTAGGCCATCATTTTTTATTATTTTATTCACAGGAAGTTGGAAGTTTGATAGTTTAAGTTGTTTTCAGAGCACTTACTTGTTCTTCATTGAAGTCTGGCAGGACGAAGCCCCCCCCCGCCTGCAGCTGAGACTCTGTGTAAGCTTTGTTATACGGACCCGTCTCCATGTAATCTGTTAAAAAGAAAAAGTGAATTATTGATAACCAAGAACCAGTACAGATAGGGAAGCATCAGTCGACTCCACGCGCTGCAGTTGGATTGTGTGATGATACGGGATCGTCCTGCCTCACCGTCCTCATCGTCGCTGGCGCTCTTGTTGGTCAGCCGGTCGATCTCGGACGAGGCGGTCAGCATGAAGGCGAAACCCATAAAGAGGGTGGTGTTCTTGGGCAGGGGGCCGTGAGTATCAGCCACGTCACCAGCCTGACCGGGGAGATCTGTGCCGCTGCCGGAGGTGTTACACAACCCCACCCGCTGAGCTGGAGAGGAAACACACACGTTTCAGAGGAGGAAGGAGAAAAATGCCAAAGTATCAGAAAAATAAATAAATGTTGTGACTCTCAAATGTCTTCTTAAAAAACATTCTCCCTTACCTCTAGTAACATAATTTTTTTTATTTTTTAACTGCTAATTATTTCAGATTTCCACAAAAAATATGTTGCTGTTGCTGCAAATCAGAGCTGATCCAGGCAACGCTTATCTGCATCACTGCATAAAACTAGAGGCAAGTCAGAAGATTTTTTTCCATAAATTGGCAGGTTATATATTTTCAGCCTGAAATATATAACCTGGCTTTGTTAAAATTAATCTCAAAGAAAATACCGCTGTGACTTTTAAAGAGATACACCCTTTGTCTCCCTCCACCGTGAACCAAACCCACTGAAACACTGCTGCATGTTATTATTACCAGGCGGCTCTCAGCAGCAGGCAGCGGACAGCAGAGGGCGACACGGACTGCCCTGAGAGTCTCAGCTTGGCTCAGTACAGAAATCACACATTACTGACCCCATACACAAGAACATCTGAGAGCTGACCAGGATCATTAACTGTAATAACATTCTCAGAAGTTCATTCAGACAGATAAGGTTAAAAAGTGGCCAAAGGCTTCACATTTCATTAAGTACAATAAATAAATAAAAAATCTATAATCGTTAAAACGCGTCTAAAACATTTAAAAATTGCAATTACACTTCAAATGTGCATACAGACACTATATAAAATCTGACTAGAATAACACATTATTTAAAAAAATCTAAAACGTTGATGTACCGATAGATATAAAAACACTGAAATCCACATGTTAAAAAACATGAAGAATCCATCCCCCCCCTCCCCCCTGTTCAGTCTATGGTTGTGGTGAATGGGCCCCCGTACCGGCTCTGGCCCCGGCACCCCTGCGGCCCCTCTTAGCCGGCGACCTGATGCCCTCGGAGGTCATCAGCTTCCTCTTCCCAGAGGGGCCGGGGGTGCGGGGGCTGCGGTTGGGGGTGCTGTGTTCCTCTGGGCCCGCTCTGCGCCGCCTCTTCCCCTCCACCAGGTTATCTACGGAGCACATCAACACCACGCTTCATTCAGGGGCCAACATGGAGAACAGAGCACACCGGCAATTTAACCTTAACCAGTCAATCAAACATGTTCTCTATCAGGACACACATGAGCTGGTCACACATGTTTTTACTAAGGTAAAAGTACAAATACTATGGTCTATAAGTACTCCATTACAAGTAAAAGTGTTCAAAATGTTACTTAAGTAAAAGTACAAAAGTATTAGCATCTAAGTGTACTTAAAGTACAAAAAGTAAAAGTACTCAATCTGCACAATGTCCCATTTCAGAATATCTTGGTTACTACATTATTTGTTTTTATAAGAGCATTATTTAATTGTAGCTCGGCAATTCTGACCAAATTAAGGTCCCAATTGATCTACACAATTAATGTGTAGATCAGTAGTAAAGTACTGCAATATACCATCGTTTTTATGTACAAAGTAACTAGTAACTGTGAGTGTTAAAACAAAAGAAGTGGAGTAAAACGGATGACATAAGCCTCTGAAATGAAGTGGAGTAGAAGTATAAAGTAGCATTAAATGAAAATACTCAAGGTACAAGTAAAGTACAAATATGTCACGAAAGTACTTAAGTACAATACCTTAGTAAATGTACTCAGTTCAGCATAGGACACCAGATCATGTGATGTACAGTAACTGAGTTTGGTTAAGGGTTTGTTTTGAGAGCACTGTTAAATGAGGTTATCCTTAATATAGAGTGGTGCAGGGGGGGTGTATTTGTGTAGGAACTTTCCCACGGGAGCTTTTACAGACTTCTTTTCAGTGATTTTCACCGTGTTCCCAAATCTCAGTCATTATTTGCTGAGGACGATGTTATCACGATTGGTAAAAAATCCAACATCAAATTAGGTGCTAAGAAAATGCTTTTCATTGAACCTAAATACAAAATGAACGAAGGCATCTGTGCATGTGCAGCGGGGTCTCACCCAGGCTGATGTCGGAGGCCTTGGTCAGCGGGGTGGAGGGCTCGTAGGGCCCCAGGCTGTGCTGCTCCCTCAGCTTGTTGCCCTGCTCCAGAGACAGGATGACGGAGGTCCTGTTGTGCCACTGCCTCTGACCGTCCTTCTCCACGCTGTAGAACAGATCGGGCCCCTCGGTCTTATGATCCCGCACAATGCCTGCACAAAAGACAGCAGTGTTAACAGTGCTTTGGGTTTAAGGTTCAACACAAAACCTTTTTTTGTGTTAGTTTTTCATCAAGTATATTGTATGTTGCATCATAGGAGGAGCCTAAAGCTTCTAAATGTCTTTGATTCTTGAATATTTCTAGAAATTCAATAATAACCCGTTATATAGAATTGGCTCATCCAATGATCTAAAATATCTGAAAAGTAAAGGTGTTAGTTCATGTCATTATTAAACTTCTCCCCACCTATGCTGAAGTACTCGTCCTCCAGCAGGGCGGTGACCTCCGTCTCCAGGGGGATGGGGTCACACAGCAGGATGTCCCTCCCTGCCACCTCACACTCGTAGCCGTCGTCGAAGCGCAGACGGAAGCTGCCCTCTCCAGAGTCTTTGATGATGAGGCCTGAGTAGAAGTATCCGTTGGACGACCACTTGGCCACCACCCGCAGCCCCACAAAGCTGCTCCCTGCCGAGTGGGCCTCCTCCGGGGACGACCTGAGGGAGTCGGAGCGGCTGTGGAGCTCGGGGTCTGCGGGGCTGGCGGGGAGACGCGGGGGGAGCATGCGGGTGTAGGGCTCCTCCTCTGAGGAGGAATGAGGCTGGCCGTGAGCACCGAGCCTCTGCAGGGAGCCGACAGCACCCCCCCTTAGAGCCAAACAGAGTCAGTCAGACAGCAGGACAGGATGATTCAAAGCTTCCTGTTTAACAAGTCACTTCCTCCTCAATGCCTATCTGTATACAATATAACCCAAGATGAGGCACAAGTAGTTCCATAACTAGAATGGCTCTGGATTAACAGCCTATGTTATGGAGTGCTTAAAGGGGCCTTATCATGCTCATTTTCAGGCTCATATTTGAATTTTGAATGAGTACTTTTTCTTTCTGTAATTTAAGTATATTTTGATGCTATTACTTTTGTACTTTCACTAAGTAACATTTTAGAAATCAGGACTTTTACTTGTAGTGGATTGCTTTAAGAACAGAGTATTTATACTTTTACTTAAGTAAAGGATCTGAGTGCTTCTACCAACAAAGAAAGAAAGAAATATTTTGCCTCTAGTATAACATTATACTATAGTATACTAGTATGTAGGCTAACCCATAGTATTTCAGGATATGTTTATTAACTTTTCGAAATGCTGAATTATGTACTAAAACATATTTAAAGCTACTTTTATCAACCATGACTTCTTTATAAACTGATCAACATAATAGAGTGGTGCAGGGATGACGTATTTACCCGGGAGTAAGCTGCGCATGGGTTCCCTCGACAGAAAAGCAATGGGATTTCTCCATAGGATTTTGGAAAATAGCTCGAAATAAGGTCTGTGGAAAACGAACCTGTTAGATAAATGCACGTTTTGTTCAGCCGGATAATATCCACATGTCTACCCTACTTTTATAATTTTATAATCATAAATCTAATCGCCAGAAGCAAAATGCTAACGTTATGCTATAAACGAACTACAGCAGAGTCGCACGACTTCAACGTCACGCCAACTTAAGATCGATATTCAATAATACAGATTCAAAATTGTACAAGTTGAAGCTTTTGTTTTAACAGTTTGCAGGAGGCAGGTACTTGCTTTCAAGCAGAACAGGGCAAACAAACTTAGAGGGAGTGTTTACGTGTTCGGTGTAATGACCTACAACGTCCTCGACAACTTCTGTAGTCCTATTCAGCCACTTGTTTACAACCGTTACACTGCTGATGTATTTAATGTCGTAGAACAAAGCGTGATCCGTCTCTTAAATGTGTCTCAACCACAGACCTTATTTCCAGCTATTTTCCTAAATCCTATGGAGAAATCCCATTGGCTCTGAGACGAGGGAACCGGTAGTGGTGAAATGCTAACTCACTTCCGGGTCTTAGGACTCGTCACTGCACCACTCTATAATCAGTACTGAAGGAATCATCAGTTGCAGCAGCGTGAGGAGATCAGGTGTGAGTTTAGTGAGAAGAGGAAAAGTAAAGTTCTGTTAGAGAAAGTGTGGGTTCAGTTTGTCGTCTCTTTACGTGCAGGGCGAGCCTCAGTGAGGACTCACCTGGACATTGAGGCGCGGGATGGGGGCCGGCCCCTTCTAGCCCTTCCTCTGGGGAACGGCGGGGCGAGGCCTCTGTTCATTGTGACCCCTGACCCTGCCCTTTGACCCCTGTGACCCCTCTGTTGATGACCGCCTCCCCTCCTGGGACTGCGGACACACAGAGGGGACGAACGGAGCCCGTCAGGTTGCACAGGCACTGATCTGGGGCCACTCGGAATCACAAACACCCCATTAAAAGAGAGGAGTTTGGTGACCCCAGATTCATGCCTGTGAGCAACCTGTACCTGAAGCAGGCGTGGGTCAGAGAATCACTGAGAGATTAAGGTGTTAGAAAGTCAAAGAAGGAGAAGGCGTGACACAGAGATCAGCATGCAGCTAGTAGAGAAGATGAAGCAGAGGACTAAAGCGAGATGGAGAGAGTTTGATGGGCAGTACCTGAAGGACGTGGCCCCTCGGCTGGGCGGCATGAGGAAGTCGGGCCTGGTGAATCCGCTGCTGCTGGTTCCTCCGGAGCTGTGCTGCATGCTGGAGGCTTTGGACGACAGAGAGCTGATGTCCCCGAGGTCACCGGAGGTCATTGAGCTGCCGCCGGTGCGACACGGGGAAATATCGCCGTCCAACACCTGGCAGTCCACCACTGGCTCCTCGCTCTCCTGGTAACAAAAAAAACACTCACTTTGAAGTCAAATACATGTTTTGGTGGGTGGTCAGCATCCTGTTCAGCACCTAACATCCAATATTCTGACACATGGGATCATGATATGATTTCTTTGTGTAATGAAAAGCCGCATTTGCGTCATCTTAAAAAGGATTTTACAGCCTTCTTTCCAATCTTTTTCCAAAACTGTTATTGCCAGATCCTGGTCATGTTAATGTTATGGCAGCAGTATATGCTTTTGGTATAGACATCCCAGCATAGCTATTTTGGCCCCTTCAAGGCAGCGGCAACAAGCTGTGAATAAAGATTTTACATACATTTTTGATTTGATGTGCCTAACTTTTACAATTTTTGAATTCGCACCGGTTTCTGGATGAAAAGGGTTCGCAGATGATAAATACCATTATTCAGTATGGTCAAATACTTATTATAAAGCTCATAAAGAATGTTGGATTTCTCTCTGTTTTAGCCCAGTTTTCTGTCTTCACCATCTCATGAGGGTTTTTGACCAGGCCCTAACTGGGTCTATCTGTTGTACCTGCTGATTGGGTAGTGTTCAGTGGCTGTTCAAAGCTCTTAAAACAACACTACGACGGGGGTGAGAGGGAACAGAAAAGTAAAGTTGCGCACTAAGTTGAAACGGTATAAAGCTCCATCAAAAAAAAGCAGAGAACTAATCCTTTATAACATAATTAAACTGTACAGGTGAAGACATTAGAAATGAGAAATATATGGGGTACCTCTGTGACTTTGCGGTCCACCTCTTTGCCGTCCTCGTAATACACGTCTGTGATGATGCGTGTGACGGTGGTCCGCACTTCCTGGATAGTGCGCACATGTCTGCGGTGTGCGGGGGCTGTGGTTCTTCTAAAGGACGGAGACTCCGGGTCACCCTTGATAACAAAAACATAAAAAGTTACTGGGGCAATATTTGACACAAGCTGAAAAAAAAGTTATGATAACAACTAAAAGTACATACCCTGTTGGCTGGGGAGCGCAGCCCCGGAGCCTCGGTGGTCTGCTGGGAGACTGTCCTCTGACGGATCTGAGACACAGAGCGGAGGGATCAACACCTCCACATCTTCACACTGCACCTCCACACCCCATGCAAGCACTTACTCATGTTTGTCAAAAAGAAAACACTTCAGCATTTGTATTAACATTTGAATTTGTTTAATATTATTAACAAGCTGCAGAAATCTGTAGCATACCCTTTACATTTGCATTATTTGAAGTGAATAATAAGCAACGGACCTTGTTGGACGGACTGGAGGTGACGGTGCTGTCGGAGGGGGCCCTCTGCCGGGCCTCTGTCCTGTTGGGGGTGGGGGGCTCTGCAGCTTGATGCGGCCCTAGCCTGTTTGCAGAGCGCTCTGCAGGATCTTTACGGGTCTCCTGCGATGCTGCCAAAACTTCCTGTCGTGAAGGTTCTGATTGGCTGTTGGGGAGGCTGTTGCATCCCAGCGAGGAGGCCTGGGAGCTCCTCTGCGGCGAGGAGAACAGATCCCCTCTGTGAACATGTGGAGAGCAACAAATGAGATGCTGTGGGACATCTGGCAGACAGCCAACACAAATATGGTGCCAACATGACCATCCACTGGAATTAAAACAGGAACTAAAAAAGCAGGAGCCATGGAAATAAATCTACATATTTTAAAGTGGCCCTATTATGCTAATGTTTAGGTCCATATTTGTATTGTATTTGCCTCTACTGTCTACTTTGCTGCAGCACCTTAAAACACTAAGAAGCATTTTAGGGCCTTTAGATAACATAATGGGATTTTGTTTACAAACTAAAGGATAAAAGAGAACACAACCTCACTTTGTCAAAGCTTGAGGACAAAGCCAAGCCATTACACACACACACACACACACACACACACACACACACACACACACACACACACACACACACACACACACACACACACACACACACACACACACCACACACACACACACACACACACACACACACACACACACACACACACACACACACACACACACACACACACACACACACACACACACACACACACACACACACACACACACACACACACACACACACACACACACACACACACACACACACACACACACACACACACCACACACACACACACACACACACACACACACACACACCACACACACACACACACACACACACACACACACACACACACACACACACACACACACACACACACACACACACACACACACACACCGAGAGAGAGGGAAAGTGGACCTATTTCTGTCTACTGAAAAACATTACACCAGGGGAAAGCTATTCTTACTTCCTTTTTAGGTCAAAGGGACATGTGGAGCTGGAGATTTTCTTTGTGCATTTAAATCTATATTGAAAGCTTACAATACGCTGGTGTGATCATATAGCAAGTCCCCCCCCCCCCCTTCATGTCTTACATAATGCATTTAAACATCTGGGTACCACATTTGGCTCAAATGTAGGCAGAAACTAAGTCTGTCCGGCAGTGCCAGAAGGTACTTTATAGAATTAAAATGGGGAAACTTTAATGTGTTCTTACCTGACAGGTGTGCTGTTGCCCCCCCCCTGGCTCTCCTCTCTTGCGTCCTGCTGTCTGTGAACCTGCCGGACACGACTGAACACTGACGGGCTGCAGGGACACCAAACAGCAGGGTTACACTCTTATTCTTACAACCAGCACCAACAACTGCTCGCAAAGCGGGATCATTACTCACTGATGAAACAAAAGTGTAAACTCTGATAAGCTGCTCAAATGTTTGATGATGAAGAGTTTCTTCTAATTGTCTTTATTTTGTATTGTTTTAATTTTTGTTATTATTATTATATCTTTATTATCTTTTACCAAGTTGGCCATCCATTGTACACGTTGTATGTTATTTATAGATATTCTGTACCCCATTTGACTTTTTTGAAATCATGTATGTAGCATGAGCGCATGAACCATTTGTGCTAAGGTCTTTTAACCTCTGACTTGAAATGAAGATATTTTTTTCTGTTTGTCTTGAGTTATGTTTCAATTGTTAAAGCACGTTGAGCACTGTATAAATAAAGCTTTATTATTAACATTATTACATTTCTGCCAACAGATTTTTATAACTGCAATAGCATTACAGCATTACAGCCGTACCGTAAGCTGCCGTAAATGCCGGTAATATTCTTCATGTTGATATGACACATGGGCTCTAAACATTGCATTGCCTCCCTCCACCAGGGCACCATCGGTTGGACCATAAATGATCATCCATAAATCTAAATCAGTTTACCACACAGTCAAATATATTTGTAAACATCTCAACACATTGGTTCCATTGTGAATGAAGTGCCCTTGTAAAGGCTGAAGAATGTCCTTCAGCTGCTTTTTACTCCCAAGACTAAAAGAACAGATTAGTGCTAGGTTACCTGGTAACAGCCTTGGCAACAGTGGTAACCTTGACGACAGGTCCATCCTCCTCTGATAGGGCGGGCTCTGGAGGATAGAAAGACACTAAATGTATTACTACGAGGTCACATGTGGCAGGATGGAGTATAAAAGCGTGAGGGAGGTTGAGCTCTTACTCTGCAGGCTGAAGCGCTCCGAGCTGCCCTCCTCCACCGGGGTCACCAGCTTCATCCTCAAACTCAGCTTCCCGTCTCCCTTTTCCATCGTGTCATCCCCGCTCTCGCCCGAAACAATGTCACTGGCTGCCATCGCCCCGTCTGCAGAGACATCCCCCACCGCGCCTGACTTTTGAGAAAAGGAAGTGATCTCTGGAGAAAAGGAGAACATAAAGCTCTGCATCAGATCTTGTTACACTACTGGACATTTAGTAAACAAGTTGTTGAGCAGCTCCTGTTGACTGAAACAAGAACCCACCAATGGGAGTGCTGTGTCTCAGCGTCTGCTTCAGCTGGCCGATCAGAGGAGGCGTGGCACCGACAACAGGACCAATCAGCTCGCCTTCTTTAGGGAGAGTGAAGTGGAAGGACATTTCTGTAGTAGGGAAATAGAATTTGAATCAGTTTAAGTTTTTTCAGTTTGTTTCTATCAGTAATAATAATATGGTACTGGCTGAGACCTGGGAATTTGGTGATGACACTAAACATAAGTCAGCAACGTGTAGTCAGACATTACAGATTTTAAATTAAATCCCAAGATAACAGAATGCATTTTATAGAGAAAACAATTGTGACCAATAAAAGTTTAAACCCAATTTGGCCTATTTTATTTTCCTGCGCAATGAAGGAGATTGACCTAGAGATAAAGTGGTATAGAAGAACTGCAAAAACAGAACAGAACAATAGTTGGATAAAACAGATTTTTGGGCATCAAGGACATTGATTCTGTTGTCCAGTTGCATCCGAATTGACTACAGGAATTAGATATATAAACCAGTGGTTCCCAACCTTGTTTCCACTACGCTAACATGCTAACATGCTAACATACAGTATATCTGTGCCCAGGTTACCTCCAGAGCTGTCACTCAGGCTCTTGTCTTTGTGCCCCTCTGCTTCAGGTCCCGCCCTCTCAGTCTGGGAGAGCCTATCAGGACCCGGGTGCAGCTTCTTCCCCTGAGTCTGGGACTCATGGCCATTGGTGGAGCAGGACACTTTGCCTCTGGTTGGCTGGGAGCTGTTGGTCTTTGCCTGAAGAGGCTGGGAGTCTCTCTCGCTGTCTGTGACCACGATGATGCTGTCCTCTCCTCTGTTTTCACTCTCCTCCTCCATGGGCTCAGGAGACAGCAGCTGACTCTGAGAGAGAGCCAGACCTAGTCCAGAGGCCCCGCTTCCCAATGTGTTCTCTCCTTCCCCCTCCATCACCTCCTCTTCTTCTTCCCACTTATTACTCTCCCCCATCACGTCTTTGACTGTTTGACTGTTGCCAGCTGCTACCGACTGCTGTGACAATGATTTTAAAGACTGACTGTTTGCTTTTGCTCCTGCCTTTCTCGAGTCCACAGAACCCTTCACTACATCCACAGTCTGAGAGATCATAGACTGTGAGGGCAAACTGCAGGGTGTAGGGTCTGCGGGGGGAGTCTCCTGCACGCAGCTGTTAACAGTCACATCAGAGAGATCGACCTTGGGTTGTGAGCAGGACACCACGTCACTCTTACTGTCTTTTACATTCACATTTTGTACATTCAAAGAAGTCGCTGTCTTTTTGTGCACTTCAGACTTTTGCAACTGACTGGACGGCTCGTTCTTGGCACATGCTGCGCGATGCTTTGGTGATTCGGCAGAGGGGGAAGCTTTGGAGCTGGTGGCAGTTTGTGACTGTGAAGACATACCGTTACTCTCTCTCCTCTGTTGTGAGTCGCTGTTGCCGGGCGGCTCCTTCAGCTCCTCGATCTGTGTTGCCTGGCTGTCCTCCTCTATATGTTCTGAGGTCTTCTGAGCCTGGCTGCTGATCTGTGTGTTCACAGAGAGCTGCAAAGGCAACGTGAAAGGAGCTGACTCCAGGGGCTGAGACTGCGTCTGGCGAGGCAACGAGGCTTTCTTCTTATCTGACTCCCGTTGTGACTGGCTCTGTGTAGGGACAAACACGTCCTGAAAATAAAAATAAACACATTGAATATCAAGAAATAAAGATCACCATTATAAATAAACTTGCTGATTATTCAAAACGCTTAAGAAATATTAGGAAATAGTGAAATATGTGCAAAAATCTTAAAATATTGCAATATGAACTGATCTTATTTTAATGAAGCAGTAAACTGGTTGAAATGAATATAATAAGTACATACGTGAGAAAACTCTGGCTGGGACGGTAAAGAGAGAGTGCGCTCTAACACAAAACCAGGGGAATTCTGGGAGACAGGAGTAGAGGCCGACGGGTGTGGCTTAGAAGCGGCCTCTGTTTCCATTGGCTCTGCTCGGTCTTCGGGGGGCAGTGAAGTGTCCATCGGCTCATCAGCTGCTGACAAAGGGAATACATTGAAGCTCTATACTCACCACTTGTTTCCTAAATCAAATCCAGTCATCAAAGTAGGTTTAATCATTTACCGTGTTCTGCTTCTGTTGGGGAACTGGGAACTATCAAAAGGTTCTGGGAGAAGTTGTCTTGGGTGGCGGCAACAAAGTCAACAGAGCTCCTGAGGAAAAAGAGCAGATGATCAGGTCATTTTCTACGTTGTGCTTGTGTGGATGCTTAATATGAGAGCACTTTGTGACTTTTGACACTACGAACATGACGTGACTTACTGGGACAGAGTCTCCTGCACCAGAGTTCCCTGTCCGGACAGATGCAGCAGCCGCAGGGTCTGGGCCGGTGTGGCCGTGGGGTGACCCTGCTGCTCCGGCTCAGACACCGTGCTGTCCACTGCACCGCCTGGGAGTCGCAGAAAAGAAACAGTGAGACAGGGGAAAAAAGACAACAGTTCAACTTTTATCTTGTTTAAGCCATTTCCAACACCACTGTACAATGAAAAACACAATAACTGAAAACAACACATTTTGTTTGGTGCCCCTACATTTTATTACTTACAAAAAGGGGCAAAAATACTTAATGTATATTTTTCTATGTTGGATGTAGTTAATAACTATATTGAGAGCATATATTAATTGTAACTAGAGATGTCCCGATCCGATCACGTGAACGGGGATCGGAGCCGATCACGTGATTTTCAAAAGATCGGAATCGGGAAAAAAAGATCGGGATCTTTTTTTTTTTCTTTTTTTATAAAATATTTTTATTATTTTATTTAAAGGTAGTGTAGGTAAGTTTAAGAAACCGGCTCGAGATACACTTTTTGTTATATTCCATGGAATGCTCTTAACATCCCGATAGCAATGAATATCTGAAGTGCTTTGACAAAAAATCCATTAAAAAATGTCATCTGTGGAAGCCGTAGTATTGTAAAAAGCACGACCAATCATTTTAGCCGGCCCGGCTAAAATAACTGGATGGCCTACCTGCCTGTCAGCCTTCCATCTGTGCACAAATTTATCTCGTGCCCTCATTGGTCATGTGCGCGTTCGTGTGTGTTGGAGGAGGGGCTCTGTAAGGAAGTGGCAGATTTTCTCCGGTTGTGTATTTTCAAATTCTAGCGCACTCGAGCTGGTTTCTCAAACTTACCTACGCTACCTTTAATGTTACAAAACAAAAATGACCATGTTCACGTCTTAAAGTCATCCTGAGGCCTTAGTTTTGGTTTAAAATTACACAACATCATGTATGTGTTGCTTCTTTTGGGCTTGTTTTCATAGACCTGGTTGCTTATTTCTCTCAAATGTGTGAACTTGTGAAGCTAGTCAAGCTACCTCTTTCCAGTAGTTATTTTTGTTTTGTTACTGCACTATCTGCACTCAATTTGTTTACATGGTTATTTTGTGGTGGACCACTGATAAGCTTTATTTTGTTTTGATCCAATGCTGCACAACTGAACTGATCCAATGCTGCTGTGAAAAAAAGAAGCTATATCCATGTTGGATAGAATGGGTAGTTGGGTACTGTCATTTAAATAAAAAAATAACCTTAAGGGACAACTTGAATGCTTTTTTCCTTTTTTTTCTCTTAATGCATTGCATAAAGATCGGATCGGGAAAAATCGGTATCGGCAGATTGTCAAAATCAAATGATCGGAATCGGATCGGGAGCAAAAAAAGGTGATCGGGACATCCCTAATTGTAACGTCTTTCTTTGAGCTGCCAGCATGGGATCTGCTTGGGCACGTTGCATATTTGTGCCTCTCCTATGACATGTCTCCATGCTTTGATGTTCAAAAAGGTCTTTATTTTTCTCATACTGCCTGTGCTGCAGCACCTCTTTTCACCCTCTGTCTGTTGTGAGTGGTGATCCGCTTAGAAATGTCTTGCCCTTTAGCCCATCACATTCACTTTGGTGGAGCACTAGCCAAAGAAGAGTGAGTGGGGGGGGGGGGGGGAGAGTGTGTGGGAGAGAAAGAACTTTGGGATTTTATGCCTTTGTAGACCATTTCAATGCACAAAAACCTATAAAACAAGGTAAAAGGGAAAACGCATAATAATAATAATAATAATAATAATAATACATTATATTTAAATAGCGCTTTTCTACAACTCAAAGACGCTTTACAGTATGAGGGAGGGTAGACAAACAAGGACAGGCAAACAAATAAATATAGTAAAATAAAATAAACAGAAAAGGCAGTCAAGAGGAAGTTGATTGAGAGGGGGGGAGGTATATAAACCTAGTATACTATAAACAAAATACAAGTATGCAAAGTAGTAAGAGATAGATAGATAGATAGATAGATAGAGGGAGAGAGAGTGAGAGAGAAAGAGAGGTAGGTAGGGAGAGAGAGAGAGAGTGAGAGGGGCCGTTTCTCAATGTCGAGTAAACCTGCTGCAGAGTCACTATTTCAAGTATACTACGTCATCGAGTGGCGCCGAATGCTGGGCATTTAACATGCATTTAAACAGTCCTTCGGCGCCACTCGATGACGTAGTATACTTGAAATAGTGGCTCTGCAGCAGGTTTACTCGACATTGAGAAACGGCCAGAGAGAGAGAGAGAGAGAGAGAGGGGTAGGTAGAGAGAGGGGTAGGTAGGTAGAGAGAGAGAGAGAGAGGGGTAGGTAGGTAGAGAGAGAGGGGTAGGTAGAGAGAGAGAGAGAGAGAGAGAGAGAGAGAGAGAGAGAGAGAGAGATAGGTAGGTATGTATAATAATAGTGCCCCTTTAACAAACAGTAGTTATTTGAAAAACATTTGTTAAACTGTATAGCCTAAAATTACCCATATGTAATTCATAAACCATATTGTCCAACTCTACTTGAAATTGCAGCCAGTTTGCTACACATTGCACTGCATGTATGCACATTTACCCGTCTTGTCAGGGTCGAACATGTCCTCCTGTGAGGACGGGATCTCCTGCTCATCAGACGCCTGCAGGCCCTCTGAGTGCAGCAGAGCCTCGATGCCCCGCTGCCTCCCCGACTGACCCGAGGACTCTGACCAGCTGGAGCTCACCTCAGATCTGCAGGCGCACAGAAGAAAGAACCGCTGCTCATCCGAGGTAGAATCTGCACTCTAACGCAGTGGTCACAACATTTTTCAGTCAGACGTACTGCAACACATGTACTCATGTATCCCTTCATTAACACCAACTGTTATGTTCCAAATGGGTTCACCTGAACTGATTTTAATCTACATAGTAATAAACTAACAGTGATATAGAAAGCATATTACAATATGTTTTCACACAATTGAACTGTCAATATTTAAGTCAGTTTGGTTATGTCTTTATTTCCAAGACAATTAGAAGCCACATTTCCCTTTATCCTACTTTCTATTCCAACAATTTAGCTGTTACTTCTATGAATTTCAATGAATAGCAGTTTATCACTCACTTAGTTATTTATCCATTACATTTGACAATACAAATATGTTATCCATCAATTACTTTAGGCTTACTTTTATCTTTTAGCAGATTAAACTGCTCTCTTATAACCTATTTTTAAACACTTTGATCAGAACATTGTTTAGGTGTTACAGCTGACTAGATTAAGGATATATATTTGTATCAAAACTGTAGAGTTAATCAACCCCCTGGCAAGAGCCGCAGTACCTCTTTGATACATGTACCGGTTGCTGGGAATCAGTGCTGTAATGAAGGCAGGATTTAAACACCACATTGGGCCATACCTCGCTGCTTTGTTGTCCTGACTCTGTGAAGTCCTGGAGCTGATGTTCTGCTCTGCTGGTGAGGAAAACAAGCTTTAGGTTAGATTGGCTCTTTTAATAGTTTAATGTCAGTAAGAAGGCTCATATCAGGTACTATACTTTCTTGCTGCAACTTGAGCTGATTACATAGTTAAGAGAGATCTAACATACAAGTTTAAATGAAACCAAGATGCACTATAGCTGTGTGAAATGAAAGGAAATACCACAATAAACACAAGTGTGAGGTGTTTTTAAACAATTGGCCTCCAGAACACCTTAGTCGTGTTTTTCATAGTTTCTCCAAGTGGGTGGATCAGCATTTTACTAAAAATATATTATTTTATTTGGCGTTTTACTGATGGTGGTGTTGGACGGCTCCAAATGTGTTTTCATGTTTTCACTCATTTATTCAAGATGTTTCTTATATTTGTCATTCGTCAGTAGACTGAAAGTGATTTATTAAATCACTTAATTACCAGGTCTGAGTGCAGCCTTTTCAATATCGAAATAATTTGAGATGTGAAGGTCATGTTGTCTGAATCAATTCAAAGGCAATTAGTGCTCTAAATAACAATGAAACACAGAAGGAAGAAAAAGCTCCCAGCATCTATAAATAAAACTCTTAATACCTGATTTGTTGCGTCTCTCTCTGTCGTCTTCCACCTGACGGTTCACCACTTCACCGCGCAGATCCTGACTCTGAGAAAGCTCCAGAAAACCAAATTGAGAGGTTCCCTCTGAAACGCAAACATACTGATGTTATTGACACACGCAGTTTCATTATTTACATTTTTATTTAACCTTTATTTAACCAGATAAAAACATTGAGATACAATCTCATTTACAATGCTGACCTGGCCAAGAAGGCAGCAATGTTACAAGTTCTTACACATAACACAGACATATAAAATACAGAGAACACAACTAACTAAACAAAAGACGAAAAGCAGTCACTACATTGTGCACATTAGGACAGAAAGGTACACTACTTATTACTGCAAGAGCAGCTGGTGGTAAGGACCTCAGACAACTTCAATTTAAAACAGGCTATAGGGACAAGTGCCATCAGTTTGAGGCTTGATTGAAGGTCATTCCAAGACCAAGGACCATCATTTAAAAAAAGACTCATTTTTCCAGCCACGGTCCGCACAGCAGGTACCTGGAACCGTTTCCAGGCACTGGTTCTGAGGTTGTAAGAGTCACAAACTGGAAGCTTACCTAAAATGGCTTTATACAATAATAAAAACCAATGCTGCATCCTACGCATACTAAGTGAGGACCATCCAGTTAGGCTATACAGTTTGCAATGATGAGTCCTATAGGGTGTATTTGATATATATCGCAGTGCAGCATGATAGAGTGGGTCAAGTTTGACCAAAACAGTGGGACAGGCAAATCTATAGATTGTATCACCATAGTCCAGCTGGGACAGGAATAAGCCAGAGACCAACCTTTTACGGGAAGAAGTTGAAAAACAACGCTTAAGTATGTAAAGGAAGCCAAGAGTGAATTTCAATTTCTTAGTTAGAACTTCAATGTGGTGTTTAAAGTTTAGATTTCAGTCCAACCAAAATATTGTATGTATTGACAAACTCAACGGAGACGCCATCAAGGGTGTCAATGGAAAGGCAAGAAGCGCATGCTGTAGCGTGATAAAATCAGTTTTTAAAGTGGAAACGGCCATATCCAGAGAAGGAGCACATGAGTATACAATAGTGTCATCAGCATACATATGATAGATAGAAAATTGCATCTGATTACAAATATTGTTTACATGTAATAAAAAGAGCAAGGGCCCCAAAATAGAGCCCTGTGGAACTCCCTTCTCCAAGGTGACAGGGTCAGAGACAGTACTACCCAACCTGACGCATTGAGTACGGTCGGTTAGATAACTCTGAAACCAGCAAATGGCGTTATGACCGAAACGAGACACCAACATAACATTAGACAGAATGTGGTGATCTACAGTGTCAAATGCTTTGGCTAGGTCAATAAACAATGCATCACAAAAATATTAATATCGTCTAAGACTTTCAGACTGGCAGTCACAGTACTGTGCTTTGATCTGAATCCAGATTGCATAGGGTTAAGGATGTTGTGTGAATTTAAAAAAAGTGTTAGCTGAGCAGAAACTAAGGACTCAAGGATCTTTGATAACACAGAAAGATTTGAGATAGGACGATAGTTATTCAACTCAGTTGGATCACCAGCTTTCAAGAGGGGCGATACAAGAGCTTGCTTCCACACAGCTGGCAGTGTGTGAGTGGACAGGGAGAGATTATAAATATCAGTAAGTGGTTGTGCTATAATCTGAGCTGCAATTTTTAAAAAGAAAGGGTCGAGGCCATCAGGCCCAGCAGACTTTTTAGGATCAATTGAGTGCAGACCGTGTAAGACTTCAGAGAACGAAAAATAAGCGAAAACAAAAACAGGTAATGTACTGGGCATGAATTGTATTCCTCCTTAATCATTTTAAGAGCACAAACCCTCAGGCTGAATGCAGTGTGTGGTAGAATCAGCTCCTGACTCCATGTCTGTGTCCTCCAGTGCACACCTGAGAGAATAGGGGCAGAGTGAAAACACTATACCCTATCCTGAGTATCATCGATCAGTAAACATGTCCAGTCCATACATACTTTTTCTTGTTTGGAGGGCAAACGTTCAGAACTTGGCTTTCCTCCTGGAACGCAGAACTGGGGTTGGACGCAATTTGGATGCCTACATTTCATTTAAGAAAACAGGGTTAGGGTTAGTTATTGTTTTGTTTGATACCCGATGAGTTATATGCATTTTCATTTCCATTATGCTAGAATAGCCCTGACCTGGTTCGGCTTGGTTGTTACTCTGGGAGCTCTCTGATTGGCTGTCAGTCTGAGAGCATCGGCTTCCTAGCGGGGAGGATATCAGTTCCTGGAATAAAGAACAAATATTCACAAGTTACAAAAGGCAAAAAGGATATATATATATATATTGCTGTGAAGTGCCAGTACTGGGGTGAGCACTGGCACTTCACAGCAAGATCATATGAACAGCCCGCCACCTCGGGCCTCTCTGTATGGAATGTGCACTTTCACTCCCAAGTATGCATGAATACAGGCAGCCATCCAATATCCAGTTAGCCCCCTTAAGTCCAAAGACATTAAGGTTATGTCAAATGGGATCTTTCTCTGTGGATGTCGGAAAGATGCTTTTTCCATAATTTTTCCTTATGATGAACCGGAGAACCTGTAAGCGGCAATAAAACTTTTAGTACATGTCTAGCCAGTTATAACAGGTGTCCCTGTCCTTTCTGCCTCTTGTCCAATCACACCAAGTGACCCTGAATAGTGGACGGCTGGCAGGACAGATAGATGGATGGCTGAATTAATCGGTGGGCGCGGGACGGAATTAGAAAATCTGATATATATTGTTGAGGATTGTCAACAAAGCGGAAGACTATTAGTGGTGTAAATCAACTGAGGACTTTACTCAAGTTCTGCACTTAAACACAATCAGGGGCATATTCTACTGTACTTGAGCATTTCAGAAGAAAATAATGTATTGTTTACTTCATACACTTACATGACAGCTGTAGCTTATCGTAATTGTTCCAGAATATAGCAATCCCAATAATGTAAGGGCTTTTATAACTATTATATTATGTCAATTGTTGAGCTGCCTGTCTAATAATGAACTAGACTTAATAACTCCATTATATAACATAACAATGTAACACTATCAGAGTCTGTTTACCTTTTGTCTAAAATTGTCTACTATTACAAATGTGTCCGGAGGATCTTTACTTAAGTTATATTGGTGTATCTTTACACTGTGGGATCGATACTTCTATTTAAAGGGCCTGAATGCTCTCTCCACCACTGCAGTTGCTTGTACAGTTAGACATCCCACATACAGTACATTACACAGTCTCAACTACTACAGCAGAAACTATAAACTAGCCATGGATGTGTGTTAGTCGGTGAGGTCAGTTCAGCTCACCAGCACCGGGCTCCGGGCAGTGGGCTGCAGGCTGGACAGGCGGCGGGCCAGCAGGGCTCGGTAGCTGCTCTCGGGGTCGTCCTCCAGAGCAACACTGTCCGGCTGGGAGTCCTCCACGATCAGACACGGGTTCTCAGGCTGAGGAAGACTGGAGTCCAGTTCACTTCCGCTGGGATCCATTAGGTCAGACCGAGGACAAGGGACGGGCTGTTGTTATCTAGCGAAGCAGGAAGAAAACAGCGGAGGCATCAGGCATGCGAGTGCACAGCAGAGTTAGCTACAGGCTAGCAGCTAACGCTCCGCCCCACAACAAAGCATGAGGCGGCTCGCTGCCACATACAGAGCTCCGAATAACTCTTCAAATCAACACACACCTCGAGCCTTCAATTAACATATTAGCTCATGTGTTAGCAGGTTAGCCAAGTGTTAGTTCATATATTTATAAATCGAAATACCAGCTATTATGTGCAGAAAACATACACACCCACTCCAGCACGGCAAGCTCCATTCCTCGCGGCAAAACCTGGGAAAAGCGATTTGATTGGTCCTGATGGTGGTGTGACGTCATATGAGTAGGCAGCATGGGAGGCTGCTTTTAGTTGTATGTTTGCAGAATTTAACTCCAAGAGGATAAGCTTTTAAAATGTTTCATGAACTATTTTTGGACTCTAAAGGCTATTGAGTTAAACGAATCATTATATTCAAATTGATTGTAAAAATGTCATTAAAGGCTTCATTTTTTAACATGATATAACATTAATAATGTTATACTAAATGATCATGTATATACATTTTACATACATGCAAAATAAATGAATACCCCTTCTATTAACCTGCTGAATGATGTTTACTGACACAAACTGAACTATTTATTGTTTTTTGTATTTTAACATTTTGCTTTTTTAATTTATTTACATGACAGTAGGCTGTTATCCTAAATGCCTATACATTCAACAACAACGCTTATTGTAACTTAAAGTAATCCTTTTTTACATTGTACTTTGTCTATCTACATCTTCATTTTCAATACCATCTATGATTCTTAGCTATTGGTCTTTTTAAATCATAAAATTGTTTCAAGGTTGTATATATTACTATGGGGACTTCCTCTGTAATGATAAATCATATGAAAACGATAAATCTAGGGCAATGCATCCCACAGCTGGGAACTCAGAGACCTTCAGGGGTCCTTGAGGGGCTTCCAGGGACTTGAGCAAAAAGAGATATATAGGCTAACTTTCACAATCATTTCCCTCAGCTAAGACTCACTCAGTCAGACGTGTCTTAATTCCACTGATTTCTTTCTCCTTCATGTTAACTCAACTCCTCTGATTTCATATTTTATTCATTACCAAGGCACATTTTATGGAAGCATTTTTACAGAAAGTATATCAATCTTACTCGGTTTAATTATATGGAGGGTTTAGTCTGTATTGGCGTGTGGGTCGTTCCTAATAAGACAAACACTGAATGACCCGTTTAGAACAGGTTTATTTTAACAGTTAAAGCATCCAAAAAGCCTTCTTTATTAAAAATGAATAGATTATTTGTTGACTACAGATATCAATCTTTATCAATCTATAAATGTGTTGCTGTGATGACTTTAAGAGATAGCTACAATTGCAAACTAGCACATGATGCATTTTGTAGAGCCTTTCTGGTGTGCTGCTCATAGTTTTTTGAAGATTAAGAGCCGGCCTTTCAAATATTAACATCACTTTGTCACCCTCATTTGACAGTCTCAGTTTCCATGGAAACACCACTTTTTCCTGTAACATCGCAGACTATGCAAATGGCGATCACAGAGGTGTTGGCAGAGAAAGTATAAAGCAGCAATCACTGACTGATGGGTACAAGTGAGTTGCTCAAAGTTCAACATAGACCGTAACGTGCGGGTCAAACTAAGTCACGCTCACACTTTGCTGGGGTCTCCTCACCTCAGAACCACCTTTGCCAAGACCCCAGAGAAGAGTCATCACAACAAGCACAAAGGCTTTTAACTGACCAGTAAACACATAAGTGCTTGCGAAGGGCACTTATGGATCAATATCTTGTGGGAAATATCATATCAACACAAAGAAGGAATATATTAAACACCAAGAAGCAGGACAATGTCATTGAAATCCTTACAAACATTCCTTAAAACCTATTATATCCCACAACTAAAAGGATTTGGGGTGTAGCAAATTCATTTTTCTGCAGGTTCCTTCACATTTGAATGACTTCACAGGCTCAAATCTGTTTTAATCCTCTTTTGCTGTCATGCTTCAGGAAAGCTGAAGGTGTATCCTGCCAGAAAGCAGCAGCAGCAGCAGCTATAGGCCTGCCACAGCTCTTACAGGAAAGCAGCAATATTAATGACCAGCATTTCAATATGAGAGATGGAGACATCCTGGCAACAATGCATTACCTGATTCTGCTAAATGCAACTCACATCCATCTTTTCATCACATACACACAAATAGATCAGGTAATATTATTTCCATGGCGTTGCTGGGCATCAGCCTCCTGTAGCCAACATACACCGCCTGGCACCGCAAAATTCAGCGTAACGTCGTCATTTCTGCAGGTCGGGCTGCCACCCACATTTAGAAATGCGCAGCCACTACCCAAAATGTCTAATCTGATCCATCTTTGCTGGAGCTGGCAGGCAAACTGGATGCTGCTTCGTGCCCCCAATCGCAACATTTCACACCCAATTTGAACGAAATGCATAACAAGAAACGTTCAAAGATTTACCTTGGAAATCAATATGCCGGCTCTTTGGGTTTTTCCAATTTCCTTCACTGTCCCGCTGGTTTCAATAATAACGCGTCCAACATCGCTCAGCCCTTCCGTGCCTCTGTTTTGCTGAGAGTCAGGGTGTGGAATACACACGCATGGCACGTAAAGATGCAAAGGCATTTTTTTATGTGGATGCCATTTCCTTTGGAGCCACACACCAACACACACAGCTCCTTCACGTGGAAGGATTACATTTCTTTAATTTTTTTAGAAACGCAGTAATGTAGTTTTTTTCTATTTTGGATAGCCTACCAGAACGCACCTCCAAATGACCTTAAAAAAAAGAAGAAAATGAGATTACATCGTACATTTATATTCAAGCATATGTGCAATGCTTCATAATTTGTGTGAGGTCAATAGCATGTCAGCATAGTTTCTAATGTTTCATTTAATCTGAATTTATGTGGATGCATTTACAGATGCAATATTTAATCATAATTACCTTTTCTTTTCTTGCACCTTGCAGATATAACTGTGGGAGACAAAGAAATGGTGACACAAAATAGTCAGCTTATAATAATTGTGTTATCATGTGTATTTCAATGTAAACACATTGTTATGATGTAAAATAAAATAAAATAAATTCTCTGTTTATGTCACTTACACACAGAAATTGTTCCTTATAGTTTCCATAATCCATGTATGCGAATCATCCTATTTTAATACAACATGAACTAAGTTTCTCAAGCGAATAATGCCATACAACCATATAGTCATTCATTTATAAGAACATTTTTAAAGAAAATTGTTTAATTTGCAGTCAAAATGGTTGACATTATCATCAGGATTGTGTCTTGGGTTCCTAACACTGGAGATTATTAGGAATACAAATGTGTAGCTCCCTGTCCTCCCAGCAGAGGCCAGCACACACTCTGGAGTGTCTGACACAGAAGTGCTGACTCACTCCTGCTAACATCAACCTTCCTGAGATTTACAGAGGGAAGAGATAAATGAAAGCCCACAGTGATCCATCACCACTGCAGGGGGTGTCACTGCAGACCCTCACCCTCTGCTCTGGAACATGTAGCGTCTGACAGGAAGAGAGCAGGGATACAGATTAATAACTGATACATGGTGCCAGTTTATGAGGTTCACCAAAGTAAAACAAATGCAACTGCGTAAGATATACACGTTTAAGGTTATAAGGTTCAGTTTGTGTTGAAACTGTTAGAAAGGGAATTAAATGATGAGGGTGGGAGTTGCCAGAGTCAATGTTCACCCCCTGCACTATAATCACACCACGAACAAAAGAACAGAGATATCTCAAATGTAGTTACAAAGATAGAAGTAAACAGGGTACTGCGTCCATCAAATGTAATGAAGCAGAGGAAACAAATTCAATTCTATATTTAGCCCAAAAGTATGTTTGCCCTTTGTCTCTGATGAAAACAAAGCAATGAAACGTTGCCTGATAAAAAAAAAAGTCTTTATATCAATCAGTTCACCAAATGCTGGACATGACTATTTGTGGCTACCGGAATGTTACAATAAACTGTGAAAGTGTTCAAGCTGGGAAAATAAAGACAACACCTGAACTTGACACACAAAACCGTGGTAGCAACATGTCACAAGGTAGACCCGCCCTAAAGCATACTAGGCTTTGTCATCTGTTTTACTTTAAATAGGACCATAATATACTAAATGAAACACAGCATGTTTAATTTGCTATAATGCTATATATCATAAGGAACATGTTCACTGAGGTAATACATTAAGGGAGCAGTCAGGTCATTTTTTCATAAACTTCTATACAATCAAACTTATTTTGCCACGAGTGAAGTCGGCCCCTGTTGGATTTTGGTGGGAAGGCAGCTTTAAAGTAGCATTGGCCTTCATTTACAGACCAAGAGGTATCCGCTTGGTTCATGGTCATCTAGATACACCCCAATCAAAAAGTGTGATTCATTGAGCTCTATGGCACAGAGGAATATAGGAGGAACATTATTTAGGCTTTGACGACAAATATACTACATATTAAACTTGTAATATTTCTTGTTGGAAACAATGTTTTGCTGATTTACATATTTTTAAGGGATTTGTTGACTATAAAAAAAAGAATATCACTAATATTTTTAATATTTGTATATGTATAATAGTTTTCAAACACCACTCAATGTGTGCAATCTTTGAAGAAGATTATTCAAATTTCTTGTGAAGCTTAAAATATTTTTTCTAAGCTGACAGTGAGTCTTTGTTGTCAGTTCTACTCTCCACACACTTGAAGCCTTGTTTTGCTCACGCTGGAACAAAGAGGTGTCAGTTTAGTAACCAAAGCACATTGCCTGGTACTTGCAGTGACACTGATATAAATAGAAACCTTTGTGTGACACACTTTTCTTATTTTCAGCCACTTTTATGCGGCACAGTTCAGTAAGTGGCATTGATTGCACTCAGTAACCCCATATTTGAATGTTTCAGGAACATTATTTGCTGTAAGAGCTCACTATAGTCTTATTACGGTTGTCACGGGGCATTTTTGAACACTTCCTATGGAACAGAAGGTCATGGCTCCTGGGAAATTAAATTGCTTTATGCCTGTCTTCCTTATTTACATTGACAGCAAGCTTCAGCAATGACATTAAAGAAATACGATCAACATAAATTCTGATGTCCTTCATTTCATTTCGTCCAATGAAATGCTGTGACGTCAAATAGCAACATGACCTGCGATCCAATCGAAATGTCCCCCCACCAAAAAGCCACACCTTCCCATCCTCCCAGCTCAACCTGCGCTGTCATGGTGCTTACTCCGGATGCAGTTGTCATGGAGATGGAAAGCAGCTCAGCGTCCACTGGTGGCACTGTTACCATGGAAATCCCTATCGTAGGACCTGCCACAGTGGAGGGAGCAGAGCGTGTTCAGCACCATGGACAGCATCGAGCAGCTTTACAGCACAGAAACTATCGCATGCTGATCGTCATCGGAGAGATTTCCACCAGCCATTACCTTGATGCTGCCAGAAAACAGATCACACAGGGTAAGTCAAGGGAGGAGTGGTCAGAAGACCTGGGGCTGCAGAGGGGAGGGAGGGGGGGGGGCTCTCAGCGGGGGACTGGAAACACTCACTGCAGCTAAAAACATCTTGGTGTCAACCTTAGAGTAGATAGGATAATATACAGTAATGTATCACTGTAGGAAAATACAGGTGTCATATCAGCAACAGTGAGAAGAGTGATACACAGGATAGTACAAATAGTTCAGACACGGATTATCACAATGAAAACAGAGTAAACACGAAGGTAACAGTACTAATACAAAAAAAGTAAAACACTGGGTAGCTACATTTACATATAAAGAGACGTGTTCTGATTAAATCTATTCCAAACACATGTTGTAGTTTGAGGAAGTATTCTTATGCTTTACTTAAAAAGTACAAATACCATAGTCTTAAAATACTGATCAGGTAAAAGTCCTGATTTCAAAATGTGACTGGCAGTATAAGAAAAGTAGCAAAATGTTGCTAAAGTACATATTAAGCGCACTCTCTTTTCAGTGTTTATTAAATAATCTATGTGGAGTATTGTATATTATTACTGATGAAAACATACAAGCAGCGCTTTAGTGCTGTAGTTTCTGAATGGGTACATACTTGTTACTTTACACTGAATCGGGTTATTTAATGGTATAATACCGCATCATATTTCATAGGACTAACATACATTTGCATATTAAAGACCTAATCTGAAAAGTAAAACTTTAATGTAGTGGCATATAAAGTACAAATATTTCACTCTGAAATGTAAATACTTAAGTTAGTAAAGTACAAGTACCTCAAATGTGTACTTAAGTATAGTACTTGAGTAAATACTCTCCACAGCTGTAGACATCTAAAAATTCCATGTTACTGCATATGCATACATAAAATCCATGAATCCTGCAACATAGGATAGATCTCTGTATTTTATTTTATTATTTTACAAACCTTTACTCATTAAGAATTGTTTTATTATACTTACAAACAACTGGAGCTTCTAATTATCCTTCTTTTCTATTTTCTTTAGATACTGATTGGGTTAATTCTACATTCTTGACATTTCCAACCATTTCACTTTGGGAGGTTTTTTAGCTAATTCAATTCTGACTGTCCTTGTTCAGCTGGTTGGTGGTGTTTTTTAAAGATACAAATATGTATTTAATTTTGAGGTAAAACAAAGTAGATATCGAAGTACTTCAGGTGATTCTCTAAAGACAACGTTTCTGTTACATTATGCATAATTCATCTTCCTGCATCGATGAACATTATTTATGCTGCTCTGTTATTTTCAACAGGTTTGCGCTCGTGGAACGTCGATCTGACGGTTTGTGACCTGAACAAGGAGCTGCAGCTGTTTGAGGCCAGACACACCGCTCAGTTTTCTTCACAGGTTAAAGGTCAGTCTGCGTAATTTGAATTAGAGTACTGCATACAAACTGTGGTGGCAGTTCATGTGTTGTGCAGCATGTACAAGTTGTGTTTGTGGCATGTGTACATAAGCATTTATCTCCTTGTTGCTCGTAAAAAAAAACACTCTGGGTTGTGATGGTATCAGAGTCTATCTGCAGGGATTTAATGTGTTGCTAGCTGCGTATTATCTGATCGCCCGTGCAGTTCCTGTGCAGGGGGACACAGCATATCAGATTATATCCAGTCGGAGTGTGCCAACAACACGTCCTTCCCTCTCTGCGTCTCCTTTGTCCTCTGCTGCACACGTGCACCGGGCGGTTCCTGGGGATGCGAGAGGCGATGCTGCCCGTATTGATCTGGCTCTCGTATGCAGACTGCATGTCCGGGTGGGAATCAATAAAGGCCTAATGCAACACTATCTGCTCGGGGGAATATAAGATCAGGCCCCGCGTGGTGAATGGAGCCAGTGTTAATGCGGATCTAGCCGAGATGTTACTGCTGTGAATGGAACTCTGCTTACTGTAGTGAGAAGAAAGACAACACTTGTGTGTGGCATTTATGATAACTATTGAGCACTTGGCTTATGGGGTCAACCCGACAGCTCAGAAGAGAGGATGCATTGGCTGGATACATGGACATAACTGAGGAAGGTTTTTTTCTATTGGAAGCAGTTAGATCTTGCTGTACACTTATCTTCCCACACATTTCCTTGGCTTTTAGTGTTATGTAAAGAATATAAATATGGTTGTTGACATCAGTGCTGTGGTTGGGTTTGTAAAACAAAATCACAAATAACATTTTATAATGAATGAGCTGTTGACAGAAATCCATTTAAAGGTGTAGCCATTGATTAAGCTCTTTCAGAACATTTAGGTGGCATTATGTAAGATGGGCAACATTGCAAGGAAAAAGCAGCAGCTGAGATATCTTCATTTATAGTCCATTCAAATGACATATTTGTATAATATATTTCATGGTATAGGTCAAAGGTCAACCTTTTGACATTTGTGGTTAGCAAGTTTTGCTCATTAGATCGACCCAGCTCTGCCTCATTTCTACATCACGTCATTGTCTCACTCTCGTGATGCACAGCCTCCTGTGGATCTCACATTTCTTTTAACACCACACACCAGCACGCCGACATGTGTTCCCTGTGGAAAAGCTGTAATATTTAACAGTTTGATCACCTTTACCATCTGTCAAATGAATCAGCCATTAGAGTCTTTGTTTTTGATTCCTGCTTTATTCAAGCTCATGAATAATAATTCAACATTGTTTCTTAACCATCCAGTCTTGTTAAATCACAATTATCGCTGGCATTTTCAGACTTTTCTTCCGTCTCACCTCTGTCAAAGATTCATCCTGTTTCTCTGCTGCCTCCCCCCCTCCCTCTCTCGTTTGTTCTCATCTTCTCCTAGTCCTGCTGTATTTCCTGAGCAGTCATACTGAAAGGTAGAATATTTCTCCTGTTGGTGGAGTTAACACTATCACTGCCAGGCCCATCTTATTTCTGGCTTTAGTTATGTATTTAAACGTGTCTATATACCTTGGAATCGAGTGCAATATTCTCTTAACATGCAGAAGCAATATCAATATTTGTCATCCGTTTTACAACCTGCCATCAAGGGAATATAATCCCAATTGATGTGAGTGATGCAACTGATGCACAAAATGTCTGTGCTACCCATTGTAGTTGAATTTATTAAACATCCATATTCATCTTGACTTGCTTGAGTCAAATTCCTTATCTGGTAAAGAGGTTACTGCAGCTTATAGAACAGTTTTACTGCTTTTAACGATATTTGAGGCAAAACTAATATTCAGAACGAATTTCTTTTTATTGAGTCAGGCACAATGAGTTACATTTATACAGTCTATATTTTTCCCTTTCCCGCCCCCGGTCCTACATAGTGAAGTAAATAAATACATATATAGGTATCAATAAAGTACATTTTTATAGATAAGGAAATAAAGAATAATAACAATAATACATGTACCCATATACTCACATATATATATATATCTATGTACATACCTACACCCATACCCACACATTTACATACACATATACGTACACTTACACACATATACATGTATATACAAAAAGAAACACATATTCATAGTCCCCCCTTTCATCTTAACTTAGTGTCTTTAGTTCAGCTATGTAGGCGAATGCACTTTTTTAACCCGGTTACTGTTGGCTTTCCTAAACCCGATATTTAAAAAGAGTTAGAGATTACGATAAGAGAAACACAGATTTTGTCAGTGATTTATGGCCATGTTAAGGTATAACTGTACTTTACAGGGTTTCTAATGGGCTTTTGCATGCACACATTTGCATGACAAAGACCATAGAGATTAAAGTGCTGCTTTAAAGGAGTGTGGCAGAGTGAGAGCAAAAATCTTTCCTCGTGGGACGTCTTTGTATCCAAGTAATTCAATCCTAAATCAAAGAAAGACAGAAATGGACAATGAGTTAAATTGGTCAGACACATATTTAGATTAGGAAAACTACAATTTTTTGTTTCATTTAGCAAAAAAGCTAAATCCTCCAAGGCAGCATTGCCATATAAGAAACATAATTATTATATTAAAGGGGAAAAAGGCGGGGTAAGGCGTTAAATCTCCTTACCTGCTGTATGTTAATGTATTTCTTTCAGTAATCAGGTTATTGCAGTGCAAGTAAACGGCACAAACTATGTCATGTGGTGCTTGATCACAGTCAAGCAGCACACACATGCTATTGATTACTTTCTCTGTCTTTAGATGCTGTTCACTCTGCGTCACTGCTCACAGACTGAAATCCTATCTAGCTACAGTTCTTGAAAGCCACTGCAGTAAAATATGCAGAAAACCACAGAGATGGAAGCATCACATGAACATACAGAGATGTGTGCAGCAGCCTAAAGCAAACACAGCATCTCCCCCAGGACCCCCGACAGATTGCTGCAGTCACATACACACACAGCTAAAGGATTGAATTTCATTAATTTGCAGGATTTGTCTAGACATCTGTCGATGCCGCAGACATGCGCAGAATTTCAGCCTGTCCACATTTGAGTAATTTAATATGATGTAAGAGATAATCCATACATTGCAGCGTTCCGGAAAGTTGTATAACAGCACATTATAGAATCCACTCTGCACTGGTTTTCATCCATTCAATTACAACATTACGGGTAGTGTGATGGGAATGACATTTGATTTGCTGGCATCAACCAAATAAAATCTTGACCTGATGATGGCGCTAGAGAAAAAGTCACAGGATCATCAGAGGTTGACTGCAAGAATAGTCAACCTCTAGGCAGGGTTTGAAGAGGGGTCAGAGGAACACTGAAGTCAGTAGGATATGAATCTCTACAACCAAATCCAAGGATCTTACCAAATTAAAGCCTAGCATGAAGAAAACTCAGGACCTGTACTTTTTACTTGACTAAATTGCTCTTTTGAACAGCCAAAAGATATGATGAATGGACATTATTAATATCCTAAAAAGTTAGTTACAATAGTGTTGGATGCTGATGCTGGATGTATAGAGTAACTGGATACAGTGTTGGAGGCGGGAGCCCGTTCATTCCTTTGAGAGTTGCTCAGTGGCACATGAAGCCAAAATGGAGCGACTGTGGATTCCTAAAGTACCCGTATCTCGGCCCATAGAGCATCGCACTTGAGTTTTCCAAAGCAAAAAAAAATGATATGCCAATTTACTGATGCCACTTTCCCAATGTAAGTCAATGTGCAAGAGTCTTTTTGGGCCCAATGACGTCACGGACTGCATGGTACTACCTTTTGGCCACTACGAACATTTGGTTAAACGGCTGGAGCTCTTCGTGGGGATGGTGAAAATCCAGCAAGTACAATAACACTCAGTTATTGTAATTAGTCTTTGTTATTTAACAGCCCCGCAACGTGACATCACCCCTGTTCGACTGAGCAGGGCTGATGTGTTTTATGAGAGGATATGAACTTTAAGGCCATTACAAAAATAATAATACATGAAACCACTGACAGTGAGCAGACTCAAAAGGCCATGTTGCTGGAGGCTAAGACTTCAAACAGGCTGACATCAAGACACAGCCTCAGCCAAAATGGCAGCAGCAAACCACTCTGTCTGGAAGTCTGGTTTTCTGACTTTTATTTAAAGGGTGAGTCTGGTGTTGTTTTAAATTATTCCAATTGTCACCAAACCCATGAAATGACCAAAACCAACAATTTGTGAATCTGTAGTTTCAGGCACACCACACCAATCCCATTGGTTTCCTACTTAAGATATTACACCTAAAAAATGAGTTAGGGACTATTTTAAGCAGTGGATTAATTCAAAATGGGTGCTCTAGTGAGGATTTGTGGCAGTAGGAAGTGTATGTGGGATGTAATCAGGTGGCTAACTGATGTGTTTTAATAGTTTTTGGGCAACAATGGAGCACTACTACCCGCCTGGTATCCTGTAGAATGGAATCTGTATTGACATTTGCATTTTGAGGGAAACATATTCATCCCGGATTTGATTTTTGGCATATCAAAAATGTGTTTCTAATCCAAGACCATAACCAGGGGTATTAAATGGTTGGGTCCAACAAACAGGACTTTCACCTAGTGCTTTGTCCTGTGTGAAACCAAAACCAAAATGTCCCTTCTAAAATGAAATGACAAACATACAAATTTAAGTCAAAAAGTTAATTAATTAACAAGATCAAATGCTTCTTGAAAACTGCTACTTTTGTTCTTTTCATAGGATTTATTGACATTAAAGAAATATATAGAAAAACAGCACAGAGCACACATGTTATCACACATTTAGAGGGAGAAGAAAATGGCACATCGTTAACATTTTTGAATTTTAGGGTAAATCAGTAGCTTGCAGGAGGCATATTTTATTGCTGCGTTCCTAAAGCTGTGGTCCCAGATTACATTGAGCAGGCTGTTGTTCACATCAGTTGCTTGAGTGACAATGAATGAAGCAAGAATAATCAATTTTTGTGTCAGG